TAGCAAACCAAAAGGCCAATAGTATACACGATCAGATGTAATTTGTCAGCTTAGAGATGTACAAGCATGTTTGAAAATAATTGAACAGTGGCAGAAAGTCTGCAAGCAGAGTCACTCTATGACTATGAGCAGAGACCATATAATAGAGGGACGGCCCTCTAGCCAGTGCGCAAAACCATCAGCGCTACGGCTTGTACTGCGCAGCCTATCCGGAAGCTGGCAAAAACGTGTGTTGACTTCAGTCATTGATTTCGCGTATTTTCATTGCAAAGGTAAGATTTGATTTTTTTCATGTATTCTCATGCCTATACTTACATTTGCAACAGTGCATTACAGGTGTATTAGGGGTGCTAAAGCATATATTTGTCTTTGTATTTGATGAAAACTGTCATGTGTGCTCGTCGTTCTGTGAGAACAATGGCGGAGGTGTAAAATCGGCGGCAAAAGTCCCGATTTTGATTTTCAATAACGGATACTAATTCTCAATGCAAATCCTTAGTTACCGGGGTGTAATGAAAGAAAATAAGATAAAGATTTGTATAGGGTCATTTATAAGTCTGTGGCGTTCGCGTCATTCCTTATTTTGGCTCGTGCAATGCGATGAAATATGATGTTTTCCGAAATATTTTACTCCACTACACTTGATTTTCGCACGCTTTCACAAGAACAGCTTATTACTAGCATGTTTCAAATAAACATGTGAACATTCATTGCGATTTCCTCTTTTGCGTGGTACACATTTTATATGGCTACGATCGGTATTTTATTTTTTATGATTTTTGGCGTAAACCCATATTTGCGTCGTATACTGAACATTTCAATTATCATGTAGCAGACGACATAACATTCATTTTGTTCATTAATATAACGTGAATATATATTTAAATCATTCTACAAAAGTCTCATTCACCTAATCGTTTGAATAAAGTACATATTTCCATTATTGTTCATTTTGATGATTATATTCTTGGAAAAGGTCCTCATTTATCATGTAACAATTCAAATATTTTTCTGTTATCATTATTTTTCCTAATGAAGTTTGATTATGAGTTTACCTGGGCTTACACAGTACCTACAACCTGTCTTATGCAACAACAAAAATGAAAAATGAACTCATTATTCAACATTATATTTATATCATAAAATTATCATTTGTTTTGTAGATGCCCAGGAAAAAGAAAGTTTTCATCGGAAGGGCTACTCAAAGAGCCTACTATTAAGTACAATATTCCCATCTTGATTAAGTAGATATACCTTGTTTGAAAGAGCATTGGCAACCAACTATTGCATAATTTTAATTTCAAATTCAGTTTAGAGTTTATTTTGCAACAGTTGAAATTCACATTTACTGTGTTTTTTTACTGAAAGAATATCTAAATGGTTGAATTTAGTAATACATGATTGTACATATAGATCTATGGTCCTATTCTACAATAAATACATTGTACATATAAGAACGTGTGATGTTGTGTTTTAATGTTATTGGTTGCATTTTCCTGCCAAGTTAAAGTTGACACTTTGTTGAATTTTTTTAAGTGATAGGGTAATGTAGTACAGCCCATTTAACACATATATTTCATGGGCTCGGAGGCAAGTGACTTTAGTATTTAGTGGCTTCCCTTTGAAAAAACAACAAGTGTCTCCAAACGGCCCAAAGCATAATCACTGCTAGCCCCAAACTGGCATTATAAAAACATTAACGCTCTTGGAAAATGTGAAATCGTGTTTCGTTGGGACTATAAACTTTATAATAAACACCAGTCAGTCACAGGCCCTCGTGTCTTTCCGAGGATTCATGATTTTAATAATATTGTTTTTGAGATGACACCCCGACTCGAAATGCTTCACAGTACAATACATAATGACAAGGCCGGACACTTCTAGGGTGCACCCTACCCGACTGCGATGCCGATCGCTATGCTACCATCGCATGCAATCGATTAAAACTTTATGTAAACATAATCATGGATGATTGGCCTATCGAGCAACACTCATGACACCTACCAATTCTTTATTGTTATTTCTGCAAGTCGATTGAAAACCAATTTTGACTCTCAACTAAACGATCTTGACACAAATGGATGACGATATGTCCGCACACAAAAGGGGTGTGGTCGAAGCAAGTCCTCTGATTGGCTAACGCTTGCAAATCTGCACATTCTTTATAAATTCGCGGGGAATTTTTACTTTCATCGACTGCTTGACCACACCCTCGTTTTGTGCCAACGAATACTTGCAAGTAAATCTTGAGATTAACCATGTGATGATACGTTTAGGGAGCATCGGGGATATTGGCAACTGTAATGTTAAAACTGCCTTTACCTGACTGGGTTAGTTTGATTTTTGTATTTTGAGTTTATATTCTCTGTCCTGTCGTAGTCTGTGAATTCTCCAAGTAAGTATCGAGGTCCAAGTCGGAATCATCCCAGTGAATGAATTAAGTCGCCCATGGCCATGCCGAATGTTGAAACAAATATTCCAGGCTTATGACGACACGCATTTCGCGAATGATACATGTTCTGCGATGTTGTCAGTTGACATGTGCAAATGAGAGATAAGATAAAAATTAAGATTATTGTAATCAGTTTAATGGAGCTGTCCATGTAATGCTTAACTGCCAAACGCAGCCGGTGAAATCCCGCTAAGGGAATTCACTCTCGGCCCGGATATTACGCAATATTGTTTACGTGGTTACCAGAGTGCTCATTTGCGAATGTCTGCGCATTTGTTGCGCATGTGTACCGGAAGAGGGAAGTTAGCAGCAGGGTGTCGATGTGTATCAGTTACATGCCAGGCCGTAGCGCTGATGGTTAGTGATAAACTGTTCGGGAGGGCCGTCCCTCTATTATATGGTCTCTGCTATGAGCTAATAGGCTACCATATCAGGTGTGATTTATCTGACTATAGATGTGTATACTTATTGACCTGAAAAGGTTCAAAAACACATGGAGGTAAGTATATAACTATAAGCCAATAGTAAACACCATCAGATGTAGTTTATCTGACTAAAAATCTACGGGTTATGGATCCTAAGACTCAGAAGTGGTACAACATTCTCAGAGAGAAGACAGTCAGTAGCTGTAGTCACAGTAATATACAACAATCATACATAATTTATCTGATTAAAATTGTACAGGTGTGTTTGAGCAACAAAGTTCAGTGATTGTACATTGTTTACATCGAGTAGTAACTGTGGCTGAAAGCCAATACTAAATAACATCTATATGTAATACATCTACTTAAAGTTTAAAACTAGAGGAAATGGTAGTTGATGACGACCAACTTCCGGTTGAGCATAGACAGGGCTTACCCCCTGTGACATGTGCTTTTTATGGTCACATGACAGGAAAGTGGTACTATGGGATATGTAACATAACTGAACAAATCTACAAAAGCTTGGCTTGAACCCGAGCTGGCTGGATTACTAAGATGGGAGGTATTAACTGACACTGGGATGAAGGAAGAGCTGCACTGCGCTACCGAGACAGTACAGAGTAGGATAACATTAATGATGCATGAAATATGTATATGAAAGTTATGTGATAATATCTGCAAGAGAAAAATATGCACAGAATAAATTAAATAAATGAATCTTGCATTCACAATGGCAAATTCCATTCGTTACCAACAGCTGTGAATGAAATCAGCCCGTCCATTACTAATTTGTCATAATCGACGCTGTACAGTAACTGAGAATCGGTTAAATCTACAACAGAATGCGAAAACAAATTGGGTTCAAACTCTAGGCTTTATTAATCTTAGTCTGCTAGTGGAAATGAATTGTTACGTCTGCTTTGACGAAAACGAGCAGACGACGGAAATGTGGAGATATCGCCGCGCGGTTGGAGTAGGTCTTTGCAATTTTGGCATGTTTTGTTTTCTCAGGGAAAAGTTAAAAGAGAAAGGTGATAATTGACATGTCGCCTGCTAGTTATATTTTGTCAGTATCGTCTGCATGGTATCTGTCGAGTCCATAAAACGGAGATGGAAATTTAGGTCAGTTCAAAGGTTAGTGATTGAGAGTTGGCATTATCGGTATGTTTAGGCAAATCACAATCTGCACTTTTAGTGGACTGAACTGTAATATGTCATAGATTCCTAACATAGCCAGGATGATTTTCATTCCGTTCTCATCATTTATGAAACTTCATGTAAACACACTAATGGTCACGTGACATCTCCCACACACGTGTGTTTGTGTCTAGTCGTTCGAGAGGATTCATATTTGTTACTTCTGCAATGTAAAATACTTAGAGTGATTTTAACTCTCATAGCCTATCGCTTAAGTATGGTGTCCTATAATTGCCATCGCGTGGCGCGTAAAAAAAGAACTACGTCGTGGGCGACGTCGCCCACGACGTCGCATAAAAAAGACTACGTCGACGTCGACCACGACGTCGTGCAGAAATACACAAGAATGATCTACGACAAAATTACAAAATCGACGTCGTCCACGGCGTAGTTCTTTTTTTACGCGCCACGCGATGGCAATTATAGGACACCATACTTTAGTGATGTCTCTATTACGGAAGTATAAGTCAAGCTGTCTGCGCAAGCGCTACAGCCAGGTGCTGTCGATAACTGTTACGTGGCGATACCCCTTTGCATCGTTGCCAGGCAGAGTGAGTTACAAGGTAATACGTGTATTTGGGGTTTTTTTGTGTTGAACTGAGACATTGAATCTGGTGTCCTGTGTTAAACTGAGACATTGCAGCTGTCCCAAGTTGCCTTTATGCGGTTTGGCCTAGTCCAGCTTGCTCTGCTTGCAAATCAATTATCATATATCCCGCCGACACCTCGCTCTATTGTTCTCTCACGATGTAACCCTTTGTGGTCTTATATAACCATTTTGCCTAGTAAATGTTCGACTCGTTGAAGCATATTGCACATACCCACTGAATATTAATTCCTACCAATGTCGTCGTCTTTGCACTTAACCCATCTGTCAATATTTAAAGGATTTAACATTATCTGTATATCTAATTCCTTTGTTTATTTTCACCTCACTCATTTCATTTTAATCTCACACCTTTTTTGACTGAAAATTATAATAGCTGGAACGAACCGTTCTGCAGGCATGAACAGCGAGGCTTCTGATACAATGACCCACTCAAGGTCGTCTTGTGGACCAATCAGCCTCGTCGAGGCATCTATTGACGGAAGTTACATCTTGATTGAGAACAACACCTCTGGAACTAAGAGAAAAGTAGGTCGCAATAAGAGAATGATTTATTTTTTTTTAAATTACAAACATTAAAATTAAATGCAGAAACATGAGCGAATACGAAATTACATATTTTCTTAAAAATGATGACATTTTCTCTAGAATTTATCATATTGACAAATGAGCAATCAATTACATATATGCTAGCTGATATCATCTGGGTGCCGCAAACTTAGCGCCACGACTGTCGTAAGGCTTTAAGGTATGATAGTTATGAATGCCTTCGTGCTGAGGTCGATTTAAACAACGACAGCCTGAATTAAAGCTGTTTGAACCAGTTGCCATATGCTCTTCATGTTATCATGTAAGTGTGAGTGAGTTTAGTTTTACGCCGCTTTTAGCAATATTCCACGGCGGGGGACACCAGAAATAGCTTCACACATTGTACCCATGTGGGCAAAAGAACCCAGGTTTTCGTTCGAACGCTTTAAACACCGCTCATGCTGTCATGTAACCATGAGACTTGTGGTAAAAGTGTCCCTCTATCTGACTTTCAGAATCAGGATCTGTCCGGATGGACGCTCAAAAGAAGCATTCCCGGCAAGGCTGACGCCGTCTACACCTTCGGCAACACCGTTCTCAATCCCGGCCAAAAGCTGAGGGTGAGTCATTTGGATTTGAACCAGGATATTCAGAACAACTAGTTTGTCATGGTAGTCCGGAGATGCTGTTAGTACTTAGCCCTCAGACCTAACTGCCCTATACAACAAACCCCAGTCGAAAGAAAAAACACATGTTTGATGGTGGATAAGGGACCGTTCATAATTTATGGCTATTTATGATGATGATATTTATGAAGACATTTCTCCCCTTTCTGCTTTCATATATTTATTATCTCCCTTAGATCTATGCTGCTGGCAACCCCCCAGGCCCCAGCGACAAAGTCCCTTGCGACTACTTCATCAACAAAGAATGCTTCTCCTGGGGAGGCGGCTCCGGCACCACCATTCTCCTTGACGACGACAGCAACAACGTTAGTATGATGGCGTGATATGTTATGGTTGTAATGGGGATAAATCGATGGATGTCTGCGACCGGGAAAGTCTTTAGGACCTTGGCGTTTCGGTATCGGCAGGTGAAACATGTACAGACAGTTACGTCCCATTGGTGTGCCAGGATCTGCTCGTGGTTTTCAATTGATGATTGTGAACCTTGGGTTGTAAGCACATTATCATACCGGAATAGTAACCTCCTATGACGGCTCTTGTCGAAACCATGAAAATGCGGGTGTTTAGAGTCATTTAAATTGGTATTGGTTATGAACCAAATTTGGTTATTGATATCATCATGTTTGAATTAATCATACTATTGTATAAATACATTAGTATTTTCAACCTGAAACGTTAACAGGACCTTTTTGCTAGTCGCCAGTCAACGTCATTCCGCACGATGCCTTTCTCCACCTTGTGCTTTCATATATTGATTATCTCCCTTAGATCGATGCTGCTGGCAACCCCCCAGGCCCCGGCGACAAAATCCCCTGCGACTACATCATCAACAAAGAATGTTTCTCCTGGGGAGGCGGCTTTCTCCCTTTCTGCTTTCATATATTTATTATCTCCCTTAGATCTATGCTGCTGGTAACCCCCCAGGCCCCAGCGACAAAGTCCCTTGCGACTACTTCATCAACAAAGAATGCTTCTCCTGGGGAGGCGGCTCCGGCACCACCATTCTCCTTGACGACGACAGCAACAACGTTAGTATGATGGCGTGATATGTTATGGTTGTAATGGGGATAAATCGATGGATGTCTGCGACCGGGAAAGTCTTTAGGACCTTGGCGTTTCGGTATCGGCAGGTGAAACATGTACAGACAGTTACGTCCCATTGGTGTGCCAGGATCTGCTCGTGGTTTTCAATTGATGATTGTGAACCTTGGGTTGTAAGCACATTATCATACCGGAATAGTAACCTCCTATGACGGCTCTTGTCGAAACCATGAAAATGCGGGTGTTTAGAGTCATTTAAATTGGTATTGGTTATGAACCAAATTTGGTTATTGATATCATCATGTTTGAATTAATCATACTATTGTATAAATACATTAGTATTTTCAACCTGAAACGTTAACAGGACCTTTTTGCTAGTCGCCAGTCAACGTCATTCCGCACGATGCCTTTCTCCACCTTGTGCTTTCATATATTGATTATCTCCCTTAGATCGATGCTGCTGGCAACCCCCCAGGCCCCGGCGACAAAATCCCCTGCGACTACATCATCAACAAAGAATGTTTCTCCTGGGGAGGCGGCTCCGGCACCACCATTCTCCTTGACGACAGCAACAACGTTAGTATGATGGCGTGATATGTTATGGTTGTAATGGGGATAAATCGATGGATGTCTGCTTTTGGAGAAAGTCTTTAGGACCTTGGCGTTTTTCGAAACATGTGTAGACAGTTACGTCCCATTGGTGTGCCAGGATCTGCTCGTGGTTTCCAATTGATGATTGTGAAATCGTGAAAATGCGGGTGTTTAGAGTCATTTAAATTGGTATTGGCTATCAGCAAAATTTGGTTATTGATATTATCAATATTTGAACAAATCATACTACTGTAGAAACACAACGTTAACAGGACCTATTTACAGGGCACTAGGGGAGTTAACTCTTCCAGATAGGAACAATGTTTCTGGTAACTGTGACATATCATCACAGCATATAACGGTGTTGCTTTCTTTTCATCAACAGGAGAAGGCTTCTCTGAAATCAACAATCGCCGGACTGAAGTAAACGACCAACTGCACTGAACGCGCAACATGCTAGCTTAAATCACAATAATTGTTAAATATTTTGTTGAGGTTATGAATTCCATTTGTTAATTGCCAAGGTGCCTTTTATGGTTTTCAATGTCAATACGGACGGGGTTGATCTGTTGACCGGAAGTGACGTCACTTCGTTACACGTCATTAATCGGCCCTATTGTTGAGGCAACACACAACGATCAATCCGTCTAATACTGGAACAGTAAAAAATATTCATATAGCGATAATATAGGCACAAAAAGTATTGTTATGTCAATGCACGCGTGTTTGGTCTCGTTTTGAGTCATGACAAACAATAAGTGTTTGACATGTTGTCATGACGCACTACCTGCTTCGCTTTCTGAAACTAGTAGATATTTTCATATTGTTATAATTCTATGTTTTCTAAACTGTACGTAGCCACATGGTGCTCTATATTTTAGGGTCTCATATAATACATTATGACCTTTTTGAAATAAAGAATTCCAAAAATGATTTACGAATACGTCTTTTGTTAAACGACGTACAGTAAGATGCAAACAGGCCCTGCTGTTGGTTGGTTTTATAGTTTTAGGGCGACGTGGGCCAATAAGAGGCCTATTTGGGCCCAACACATTGACTTGAAATAATAAAAATCATAGGTAATTTCATCGCCAAAAGGAATCGTTTAGTTAACATATAAGAATCGACAACACTATCAATATTCATTTGAATAGACGTATACTTATATCGAATAACCTCTTCTTCGTGTTACGATTAAAACCTTAAGTAATCGCTTCCATTTCAGAAACATGAAATACTTATTCATTAACAAAGCAATAGGTTAAGATGACAGAGCGTTAAAATGATTTAAAATCACAGAACTAAATCTGTCTAAGCCCTTTGAGAGCCTGTCCAGATCACATAATTTTCCAGATGACGAGACCCAATCTAATCTTGGATTATGTCTTATGCTATTATTAATCAGGTCATGTAATTAGATAATGTTCAATATTTTCAGGCATCTCCAAATTGCAATGGCCACAATTAGAAGAGACCGTCTTATCTATAATACTCCTGTAAGCATTAAGCCCATAGTGTCCAAGTCTGGGCGACGACGAATTTTATGACCAATGAACAATGTCATCTCTAGATCCATTTGCACCAGCTTCTATAGCTTTGATAGCTGCCATAGAATCTGTAAAGATAATTGCTTCATGGTCATGTTCATCTAAGCATCTCAAGGCTTGCAAAATGGACAAAAGTTCAGCTGCAAAAACAGAAAGATAATCAGGGAATCTGAACACCTTAGCGATTGATAAATTGGGTATTCAAAAAGCCCCAGCAGTACGATCATTAGATGGTTCTTTCGATGCATCAGTGTATATATGTGTGTGAAATTAGAATAATTTTCAGACAGAAAGTCTTGAGTTATCACTTTTATTATGTTTTGGTCCATTCTCTTATTCACTATGAAACTGAGTTCAGTATTCAATCCAGGCTTCAGCAGAAGGATCAACTGGGTTACAGTTGTAAAGACCATGTTGATCAGCTAATTTCTGTATATTGAAGCCAAAGGGTAGTTTGCCATGAGACCAGTCACACATGACATATTCCACACAGTCATTAACAATCTCAGTGACTGCATGGTGTTTGTTCTTGGTTTTCATTTTTAAGAAATATTTCAAAGATACTGCTGTCTTAAGGTGAAGGGGCATTTCTGAACACTCAACTTAAAGCGCTGAGGTTGGAGTTGTTGTATAGGCCCCAGTTCATATTCTCAAAACTTTAGATTGAATTCGATCAAGCTTATTCAGATGACATTTAGCCCCGACATATACACCTGGCAACCATAGTCAAGTCTGGACAAGATAAGGACCTTGTACAGCAATAACATAGTTGACTTATCAGCACCCCCACTTTGTTTTTGAAATACACTTTAATAGATTGATGATCTTGTTACATGTGTTATATAAATGTGTGATGTGATGAGACCATGTTAATCTTTGATCAAAATACACACCAAGACATTTGAACACCGACACCATTTCCAGTTTATGGTGTCCAAGAGTTAGATTGATATCATGAGGGAATTTACGTCTTGTGATCATCATTGACACTGATTTTGATTTTGAAATCTTAAACCTCCATTTTGAACACCATGTACTGACTTTACTTAAGCAAGTTTGTATTGATTCTAAGACAAACTGAAAATTACCAACCGTCTCCACAACGACACGTCATCAGCAAACTGTGCTGCATTTTTGTTTAGAGGCAGGTCCTCGGAAATGTCATTGATCATGATATTGAATAAAACTGGACTTATTACACTTCCTTGTGGGGTACCATTTTCAATCATATGCACGCCTAATAGTTCTTTACCTATGCGAGCGTGAATGGTTTTTCGGACAAAAATGGCCATATCCACTTGAACATGTTGCCTCTAATTTCAAGCTTCCACAATTTAAAAAGCAAACAATTTCTCCAAGCCATGTCATAAGCCTTTCCGATGTCCAGGAATACACACAACATGTCTTCTTGGTTGCATAAAGCTTTCTGTGCTTCAGTTTCCAGACGAACATGTTGATCTTTACATGAACGTCCCTTTCTGAATCCTGACTGGATAATAGTTCAAGATAATAGTTCAGGCGATTAGTAACTATTCTCTCCAGGATTTTACATAAATTAGAAGTGAGAGCAATCCTGGTTTGGGCACATGAACTTTTATTGCATCACGCCATGTCCAAAGCAAGGATCCAAACACCAACTTAAGTTCAAAAGTTCCCGAATAACAGCTACAGTAGAATATGGCATATGCTTTTCTGGCATATACATTTCATAGCACAGCTCATCTGCACCTGGTGCCGCATTATGTGTTCTTGATATGGCTGCCTTAAGTTCATCATGACTGATAGCTGTATTAGGATCCAAGCTACTTTCCAACATGACAGAAGACATTTCAGGCAGAAAGTTTGTTTCAAAGACTTGCTTATATTCTCTAAATTCATGACAATAATTTTCAGAACTGCAACCAGATTCAAATTGTTTAACAAGAGCATTTACTTTCTGAATTTTTTATATGAGTTCTCCAGTTTCTCCCATTACCAGTAAAGGAGAACGAATATTATTTCCTCCGATCGTGAATGATGTAAATCTATTAATATTGGGCATATAGTCCCTCCAGCTTAATCGTTTTGTACTCCGTACAATACGCTGGAACGTAGCTCGTTTCTTACGAAAATCAGCCAAGTCACATGATAATGACGAGTGGCGAACCTTATTAAATGCCTTTCTTCTTGCGATATTGGCTTTGTCACAGCTGTCATTGCACCAGTACTTTGGCGGGAAAGCCGCTTTCATAGCAGACGATTTTCCCATGGACTCTTCTGCAATTCAGCACAAAGACCAGAAAAAAGTGCCCAATTAGCCTTCTTGAATTTCCACCAAGGGACATTATCACATGAATCACGATGTGGTCGAACCTGAATTTCAGTAAAAACAGGAAAATGGTTACTACCTAACGCATCTTCCTGAAATACACCCCAGTTACACTTACTGGCTATGGGTGATTGTATCATTGATAGATCTAAGGGAGAAACAGTCCTTTTGCCAAGATCCATGCGGGTTATTTTACCATGATTAAAAGGACAAGATCTGTTTAAGCTAAATATTCGAGTCTAGACCAGACAATACAGTGATCAACAGCACGACCATCGATCTGCGCAATTGGGAACCGATGGCATGTGCCAACCAAGTCAGCGAGGTTGACCACCCGATCCCGTTAGTCGCATCTTACGACAAGCATGGGTTACTGAAGATCAATTCTAACCCGGATCTTCACGGGTACCGCACGTCACGGTAAAGGGTCGAGTTGGAATATATTATCCCTGATTGTGGTGCCCTTCAATGTGATGTTGCTGGAATATTGATAAAGACTAACTCGGGGGGAAACACACTTATTGATTCTGTGTGAAAGACAAAAATGATGTTGGCGTATTGTGTGACTGCGCGGGTGGTGCATGTGTGCGTGCGTGCATATAGAGACATGTGACAGCTGTGATTGGATGAAATAATGTAAGATTTTTACGTAAAATACACATCCATCCAGTAATTTAAACTAACCACAATTTTAAGTATTTGGTGCTGTCATTTTTATCACCATCACTTATGTTTATTGTGTGTGCAGATATTTTCCAGTAGGTGACATTTGGTGCGGAACTGGGGTTGATGTGTTCAGGTTCATGTGCTCGGAAAATTTGCCGGATAAGTTAGCCGGAATTTGTGTTTTTATAGTTGTTTAAAGGCCAGACTGCACCCATGTGTACATGGAACAGCTGTTAACAGCCTGGATGAAATATAACGTTACTATAGAAATCTATGGGAAAACATTTAGTGTTGTATAACGTGTAACACTAGCTGAGAATTCTAATGGTTGTCCAAGGGACGCAACTCTGCACAGCGAATTGCGGCGCTTCAAACAGCTGTGGTTGTGAAGATTGTAGCTTTCGTCGGACTGTTTGTTTATTGTTTAACGTCGCATTCAGTAGTATTCCAGCAATATGGCGGCGGTTTGTAAATATTCGAGTCTTTTGTAGGACTGAGAAGACGTTGTGGTAGTCACGATCCTAATTTTCACGATGCCTAGTGTGAAATCATACAGATGTCGATATTATCCTGTCAACAGTTAAACTGTGATTAAGGAAAACACCAAAATTCATTTTATCATCTTTTTGCATTAAAAATGGCTTGCTTGTCGTACGAGGCGACTAACGGGATCGGGTGGTCAGGCTCGCTGACTTGGTTAAGACGTGTCATCGTATCCCATTTACGTAGATCGATGCTCATTGTGTTGATCACTTGATTGTCTGGTCTCTAATATTTACATGCCGCCCATATGGCAGGGGTCAGCGTCAGAACACCTGCGGTAAATGATGTCAGAAGATGACAAAGACGTCGTAGGAGGTAAGTATTCAATCAGATATGATGTAACCGAGAGGCAAAAGCGGTCGTCGCCACATCACAGTGTGTTTGCTTGTTTGTTGTTTAGTTTAACGCCACACTCAGCAGTATTCCAGCTATATGACGGCGGTCTGTAAATAGTCCAGACAATCCAGTGATCAGCACCATGAGTATCGATCTACGTAACTGGGATACGATGACATGTGTCAACCAAGTCAGCGGGCCTGCATTAAAAATGGCATAAGGTCAAATAATGCACATATACTTTATTCCAGTTTTATAGGTTTTACAAGACGCTGCATCCTCGTGTTTAATTCCTTCCCTTACCCGTGAAGATCCGGGTTAGAATTGGTTTTCAGCAACCCATGCTTGTCGTACTAGGCGACTAACGGGATCGGGTGGTCAGGCTCGCGGACTTGGTTAAGACGTGTCATCGTATCCCAGTTACGTAGATCGATGCTCATTGTGTTGATCACTTGATTGTCTGGTCTCTAATATTTACATGCCGCCCATATAGCAGGAATTCTGCAGAGTGAGGCGTTAACCAGAAAAGCCCCTTTCCTGGTACCCCATGCGTGTCCGGCGTAAGAGATAAGATAACAATGTGTGACCTTGTTGATAGCGTGACATCATTTTCCGACAACTTGAATTTATGCTTGGGCCTCCACCCACTTGAATGCTCGGCTCAGTTTCGACAATCTACTGGATTCCTTGCTCTAGTGGGGATATTACTGACTGTGACGGAACCAGTCTACCCATACACTTAACAGGTATCACACGATTATTTATGCATGACATTTTGACGAAACTTGAAACGAGTTGAAGTCAGTATATGCACTAAAGGAGGCACTGATAGATACGTGGTTAGACAGGGGGGTGTCTTAGGCCCGTGCACTTTTCCTTAGATGCTATACAGGAAATGCCGAGCCCATTGCGGGCTAGAATGACAACCAGGACCACTGGCATGCACAATTGTATGACACATCCTATGACAGAAGGTCATGGTGATTACACATGCTGCATAATAGAGCACAAATATAGCATTCGCGTTCGAGAGAGCAGGTTTACCCCCGTACTTTTCACCTTCATTCTCTGCTGTGGGCGTTGTCATTCGCCGAGGCAATTCTATCTCCAACGGAGTGTAGCATGGTCGTTTAATGCAATGAATTGATAAATGTCCTCATTTATATCATAGGATGCTTGCTATTAGTATTGAGTGCATTATAATTTGAATGCTATTTCTTTTCATGACTACACAATGTCTCTTTGTATTTCGGTGCATGTGATCCAGTGTGTGTTACCTGTGTGGTGCGTTTAATCAGTTGAAATGTAGTTCAGGTGAACATATACCTCGGTAGAAGCATGTAGGTTTGTTTGCTTTGAACATTCCTTTGTGGGATCTCTTAAGGCTGACGATTTACGCCATATCAGAACTTATACACAATCACAAGGCCTGCGCAGTGACAAGGTGAGTTTAAATCACCCCCTTTTCAATTTAACCTTGAATGCACTATGCTCGCACAAACCTGACGACGATCGGTTAGAATATGTTTTCAAGAATTCAGTAGTGAAGTTAAAGTCAGGACATGGAAACTTGGATGACCACGATTACTCAGGAACTGTATTTATGTCTATCTTGACACAGAGACGATTTATGGAGGAAGCAGGGCACACGCTCTAGTTTCTTAAGCGTCTTTGCCTAGGTCTAAATATGTCGTGCGAGGTCAGTTTGTTGTTTGTTGTTTAAAGCTGCACTCAGCAATATCCCAGCTATGTAACAGTGATCTGTAAGTGATAGACCCTGGACCAGAAACTGCAGCGAATGGCATGATGATGTCATCATCGATCAGCGCAGCTAGGATACGATTGTCGGTATCAACAATGAGCTCCACACATTATATAATTAGGATATGTTATAGGCTTCACACAAGGCACCATATAGAACCTCTCAGTTTAACACAGGGCATTTATAACACTGTATCAGCTTCGTACATGGCACTCTGTGTTTCAGATTAACACAGGGCACCAGATACAATGTCTCTGTTTAACACAGGGCACCAGATACAATGTCTCTGTTTAACACAGGGCACCAGATACAATGTCTCAGTTTAACACAGGGCACCAGATACAATGTCTCTGTTTAACACAGGGCACAAGACACAATGTCTCTGTTTAACACAGGGCACCAGATACAATGTCTCAGTTTAACACAGGGCACCAGATACAATGTCTCTGTTTAACACAGGGCATCAGATACAATGTCTCTGTTTAACACAGGGCACCAGATACAATGTCTCTGTTTAACACAGGGCACCAGATACAATGTCTCTGTTTAACACAGGGCACCAGATACAATGTCTCAGTTTAACACAGGGCACCAGATACAATGTCTCTGTTTAACACAGGGCACCAGATACAATGTCTCTGTTTAACACAGGGCACCAGATACAATGTCTCAGTTTAACACAGGGCACCAGATACAATGTCTCAGTTTAACACAGGGCACCAGATACAATGTCTCAGTTTAACGCAGGGCACCAGATACAATGTCTCTGTTTAACACAGGGCACTAGATACAATGTCTCTGTTTAACACAGGGCACCAGATACAATGTCTCTGTTTAACACAGGGCACCAGATACAATGTCTCTGTTTAACACAGGGCACCAGATACAATGTCTCTGTTTAACACAGGGCACCAGATACAATGTCTCAATTTAACACAGGGCACCAGATACAATGTCTCAGTTTAACACAGGGCACCAGATACAATGTCTCTGTTTAACACAGGGCACCAGATACAATGTCTCAGTTTAACACAGGGCGCCAGATACAATGTCTCTGTTTAACACAGGGCACCAGATACAATATGTCTGTTTAACACATGGCACCAGATACAATGTCTCAATTTAACACAGGGAACAAGACACAATGTCTCTGTTTAACACAGGTTACCAGATACAATGTCTCAGTTTAACACAGGGCACCAGATACAATGCCTCAGTTTAACACAGGGCACCAGATACACTGTCTCAGTATAACACAGGGCACCAGATACAATGTCTCAGTTTAACACAGGGCACCAGACACAATGTCTCTGTTTAACACAGGTTACCAGATACCATGTCTCAGTTTAACACAGGGCACCAGATACAATGTCTCAGTATAACACAGGGCACCAGATACACTGTCTCTGTTTAACACAGGGCACCAGATATAATGTCTCAGTTTAACACAGGGCACAAGACACAATGTCTCTGTTTAACACAGGTTACCAGATACAATGTCTCAGTTTAACACAGGGCACCAGATACAATGTCTCAGTTTAACACAGGGCACCAGACACAATGTCTCTGTTTAACACAGGTTACCAGATACAATGTCTCAGTTTAACACAGGGCACCAGATACAATGTCTCAGTTTAACAAAGGGCACCAGATACACTGTCTCTGTTTAACACAGGGCACCAGATACAATGTCTCAGTTTAACACAGGGCACAAGACACAATGTCTCTGTTTAACACAGGTTACCAGATACAATGTCTCAGTTTAACACAGGGCACCAGATACAATGTCTCAGTATAACACAGGGCACCAGATACAATATTTCTGTTTAACACAGGGCACCAGATACAATGTCTCAGTTTAACACAGGTTACCAGATACAATGTCTCTGTTTAACACAGGGCACCAGATACAATGTCTCAGTATAACACAGGGCACCAGATACACTGTCTCTGTTTAACACAGGGCACCAGATATAATGTCTCAGTTTAACACAGGGCACAAGACACAATGTCTCTGTTTAACACAGGTTACCAGATACAATGTCTCAGTTTAACACAGGGCACCAGATACAATGTCTCAGTTTAACACAGGGCACCAGACACAATGTCTCTGTTTAACACAGGTTACCAGATACAATGTCTCAGTTTAACACAGGGCACCAGATACAATGTCTCAGTATAACAAAGGGCACCAGATACACTGTCTCTGTTTAACACAGGGCACCAGATACAATGTCTCAGTTTAACACAGGGCACAAGACACAATGTCTCTGTTTAACACAGGTTACCAGATACAATGTCTCAGTTTAACACAGGGCACCAGATACAATGTCTCAGTATAACACAGGGCACCAGATACAATATTTCTGTTTAACACAGGGCACCAGATACAATGTCTCAGTTTAACACAGGTTACCAGATACAATGTCTCTGTTTAACACAGGGCACCAGATACAATGTCTCAGTATAACACAGGGCACCAGATACACTGTCTCTGTTTAACGCAGGGCACCAGATACAATGTCTCAGTTTAACACAGGGCACCAGATACAATATTTCTGTTTAACACAGGGCACCAGATACAATGTCTCAGTTTAACACAGGTTACCAGATACAATGTCTCTGTTTAACACAGGGCACCAGTTTCCATATCTCATTTTAACGCAGGGCACCAGATACAATGTCTCAGGTTAACGCAGGGCACCAGATACAATATCTCAGTTTAATGCAGGGCACCAGATGCAATGTTTCTGTTTAAGGCAGGGTAACTAGATACAATGTCTCAGTTTAACACAGGGCACCAGACACAATGTCTCAGTTTAACACAGGGCACCAGATACAATGTCTCTGTTTAACACAGGGCACAAGACACAATGTCTCAGTTTAACACAGGGCACCAGATACAATGTCTCAGTTTAACACAGGGCACCAGATACAATGTCTCAATTTAACACAGGGCACAAGACACAATGTCTCAGTTTAACACAGGGCACCAGATACAATGTCTCAGTTTAACGCAGGACACCAGACACAATTTCTGGTCATAAAATTAAAAATGACTGTAGCATTCGTTTGTGTCAGTGTTATGATCTTGTATTGATTTTTGCTTTCATATAGTTGTCCCCTCGTTAGACCTGAATGGACTCACCCCTTCGGGGTCAGCGTCAGAACACCTGCAGTAAATGATGTCAGAAGATGACAAAGACGTCGTAGGAGGTAAGTATTCAATCAGATATGATGTAACCGAGAGGCAAAAGCGGTCGTCGCCACATCAAAGTTTGTTTGCTTGTTTGTTGTTTTGCTTAACGCCAGACTCAGCAGTATTCCAGCTATATGACGGCGGTCTGTAAATAGTCCAGACAATCCAGTGATCAGCACCATGAGTATCGATCTACGTAACTGGGATACGATAACATGTGTCAACCAAGTCAGCGGGCCTGACCACCCGATCCCGTTAGTTGCCCCTTTCGACAAGCACAGGTTGACTGAAGACCAATTCTAACCCGGACCTTCACGGGTCGCCACATCAAAGACCGGTACGATGTTAGTAGTATGAAAAATGTTTTGTGTGTATCCGTGTATGTATTCCACGTTTAACAAATGATGACCATCGATCCAAGCAATTGGGATTCCAACCCATACTCTCAGAGTCAGTCATCTATTCGCCAGCACACAAAGTCAGCGATCTAACCGACTCAAATTTGGCCTTTATTGAGAAAGCGTATTCGCAAATATAACATATGTTACAAACGATATACTTTATGAACGCATACAACTAATATAACATCAGTGTTCGTGTACAACTAACCAATGTGTTATTGATTTTCCTTACAGACAAAAACGAACTGATTTGAAGAGACAGGTTGTGTTGGCCGATGTAATATCCGTGTTGAAATGTTAGCGCATGCGCAGACAAAAAACTCTTGCGTTTCCGGTCGAATGGTACTGTCACGGTCAGCCCGTGGACCAGTCAGCTTCGTTGAAGTATCATTGGACGGAAGTTACATAACAATAGAGAACACCACGACTGCATCGAAGTCAAAGGTTGGACTGTATTTTACTGTCTCTTGTGTGTATAGCTTTAGCTTCCCTTATATTGTTCGGACATGTTTATACAACCGGTTTAACACTAAAGAGAGTAAAGTACAATGATTAAAAACAACTTGTTGATTGGCTAAATCACGGAGGGGAATACCAGTTTGGACCGTTGCAGGGCAGGGTGAGTTTCAGGACAATACCAGTTTGGGTCGTTGCTGGACAGGGTGAGTTTCAGGGATATACCAGTTTGGATCGTTGCTGGGCAGGGTGGGTTTCAGGGATATACCAGTTTGGATTGTTCCTGGGCAGGTTGGGTTTCAGGGATATACCAGTTTGGATCGTTGCTTGGCAGGGTGAGTTTCAAGGCAATACCAGTTTGGATCGTTGCTGGGCAGGGTGAGTTTCAAGGCAATACCAGTTTGGACCGTTGCTGGGCAGGGTGAGTTTCAAGGCAATACCAGTTTGGACCGTTGCTGGGCAGGGTGAGTTTCAGGACAATACCAGTTTGGGTCGTTGCTTGGCAGGGTGGGTTTCAGGGATATACCAGTTTGGATCGTTGCTGGGCAGGGTGGGTTTCAGGACAATACCAGTTTGGATCGTTGCTGGACAGGGTGAGTTTCAGGGATATACCAGTTTGGATCGTTGCTTGGCAGGGTGAGTTTCAGGGATATACCAGTTTGGATCGTTGCTGGGCAGGGTGAGTTTCAGGGATATACCAGTTTGGATCGTTGCTGGGCAGGGTGAGTTTCAGGACAATACCAGTTTGGACCGTTGCTGGCCAGGGTGGGTTTCAGGGATATACCAGTTTGGATCGTTGCTGGGCAGGGTGGGTTTCAGGAATATACCAGTTTGGATCGTTGCTTGGCAGGGTGAGTTTCAAGGCAATACCAGTTTGGATCGTTGCTTTGCAGGGTGAGTTTCAAGGCAATACCAGTTTAGATCGTTGCTGGACAGGGTGAGTTTCAAGGCAATACCAGTTTGGACCGTTGCTGGGCAGGGTGAGTTTCAGGACAATACCAGTTTGGGTCGTTGCTGGGCAGAGTGAGTTTCAGGGATATACCAGTTTGGATCGTTGCTGGGCAGATAGGGTTTCAGGGATATACCAGTTTGGATCGTTGCTGGGCAGGGTGGGTTTCAGGGATATACCAGTTTGGATCGTTGCTGGGCAGGGTGGGTTTCAAGGCAATACCAGTTTGGATCGTTGCAGGGCAGGCTGAGTTTCAAGGCAATACCAGTTTGGATCGTTGCTTGGCAGGCTGAGTTTCAAGGCAATACCAGTTTGGATCGTTGCTTGGCAGGCTGAGTTTCAAGGCAATACCAGTTTGGACCGTTGCTTGGCAGGGTGAGTTTCAAGGCAATACCAGTTTGGATCGTTGCTGGGCAGGCTGAGTTTCAAGGCAATACCAGTTTGGATCGTTGCTGGGCAGGGTGGGTTTCAGGGATATACCAGTTTGGATCGTTGCTTGGCAGGGTGAGTTTCAAGGCAATACCAGTTTGGATCGTTGCTTGGCAGGGTGAGTTTCAAGGCAATACCAGTTTGGATCGTTGCTTGGCAGGGTGAGTTTCAAGGCAATACCAGTTTGGATCGTTGCTGGGCAGGCTGAGTTTCAAGGCAATACCAGTTTGGATCGTTGCTGGGCAGGCTGAGTTTCAAGGCAATACAAGTTTGGATCGTTGGTAGGCAGGGTGAGTTTCAGGGCAATACCAGTTTGGATCGTTGCTGGGCAGGCTGAGTTTCAAGGCAATACCAGTTTGGATCGTTGCTTGGCAGGGTGAGTTTCAAGGCAATACCAGTTTGGATCGTTGCTGGGCAGGGTGAGTTTCAAGGCAATACCAGTTTGGATCGTTGCTGGGCAGGCTGAGTTTCAAGGCAATACCAGTTTGGATCGTTGCTTGGCAGGCTGAGTTTCAAGGCAATACCAGTTTGGATCGTTGCTGGGCAGGGTGAGTTTCAAGGCAATACCAGTTTGGATCGTTGCTAGGCAGTGTGAGTTTCAGGGCAATACCAATTTGGATCGTTGCTGGGCAGGGTGAGTTTCAGGGCAATACCAGTTTGGATGGCTGCTTGTTAACATTTAATCAGACATGAACTTACCACGAAGTATCACTACCATTGTCTAACTACATGACTCTGTTTGGCATCTAGTCGGTGCAGTTGCAAGGATGGAGTTTGAGAAAAAAGAGAAAAGGCCAACCCGACATCCTCTACAAATTCGGGGACTATGTCCTACATCCGGGTGCTAAACTCAGAGTAAGTAGCAGCAGAAAGAACACTCTAACTCAGAGAATGAATGAATGTAGTATTGCGCCGCAGCAGTGTTACACATAATCACCAAGATACACAGTAGAACTACCTGTAATACCTGGTCATCAATTACTGCACACGACACGCGCGGGATACTAGAGACCTATTGCCTCGAATCCCCCACGTGGATTCTTCGTGGGCCACGAAATCATTACAAAGCACACTGTACTTCTTTCTTAAAAACGATGGTGACTCTTGGTCTTTGCGAAAACATTACATTTCAAGGTGATCAATAATGTTTGGGTTTTGCCATGTTTAATAAGTATCAATGTGAATGTTGAAATTGATAGGATTTTAGGGGCGGTGGGGTAGCCTAGTGGTTAAGGCGTTCGCTCGTCACGCCGAAAACCCGGGTTCGATTCCCCACATGGGCACAATGTGTTAAGTCCATTTCTGGTGTCCCCCGCCGTGATATTGCTGGAATATTGCTAAAAAGCGTCGTAAAACTAAACTCACTCACTCACTGATAGGATTTTAACCGGAGTGTTTTCTTACATTTGGGTAACTATGGGCGGCTGAATGCACGGTCAGTGGTGCGATCATCGGCAGCGTCATACCTGAAGACCTGCATATCGATATTAATAGGATTAAATGTGGATTGACTGGCTCGGAATCCATGTTATCAATGTCCAAATTAAGTATCGCTGTCAAGCTACGGCATGGATGATCACTGGTATACAGAGCGGGGTTTTCGGTTGTTTTGTATTTTTCTTTTTGGTTGTTGTTTTGGGGGATTTATTTTATGTTTGGTTGGTTTATTTGTTCGGGGGTGTGGGGTGTGGGGTTTGGGGTGGTTCTTGTTTGTTTTTTGCTTTTTTTGTTGTTGTTTTTTGGGGGTGGTGGTGGTTTGTTTTGATTGTTTTGTTTGTTTTTGGTTTGGGGTTGGTTTTGGTTTTGTTGTTGTTGTTGTTTTGTTGTTGTTTTGTTGTGTGTTTTTGGGGTTTTTTGGGGGTATTTTAAATGTACCCTCTAAAAATCTTTTAATTTTATTGGGGGGGGGGGGTTGTTCTTACTTCAGCAATGAAAGGAATCTAAAGCAGGCTAATTTGGACTTCATATATTGTCATCTTCATGTCAACCAGGTAGTTGTTAAATCAGCACCAACTGCAATAGCGTTGAAACTGTTGTTAAGCCCCTCATTACTCACTTCCTCAGATCTACGGTCGCTGGAACACCCCTGCTCCCCAACAAGACATCGGCTGTGACTACATCATCAACTACGACGTTTTCAACTGGGGATTCGGCACGACCGCCGTGTATCTCTATAACGAGGAACACAAGGTTAGTACCATTCTCTTCCCACAGAGGTTACTCCTGTCATATCTTCCTACGTAACCTCTGTTCTAATACGGCCCTTTCATGGTGTGAGCGTTCAAGACTCGTGATTGGAGGCAATCAGATTTAGTTGTGCAATCAGCGACGTTGTTTCAAAAGTGATCATTCGCAAGGCCTCGGTAATTTCCGTATGCTTCGAGAAAACTAAACCTCTTCCCCTGCGCGATGCGCAAACGTTTCTTCTAGACAGTCATGTTATGGCGGATCAGTGGCGTCTCCATCGCCCTCGTTGACAACGGACAAGCTAGCCATTAAACGTCTTGTGTGTAATATCAACACAAGTCCCCGGCAGATGGAGGATATTTGTGGCCCCACATTTGCTTGTGTTAGTCAAGTTTAATCTAAGTCGATGTAACACGTGTTCTGATTGGATAGAAAGAAGGGAGATAATTCGTGTTGCGATCTTTTGCCGCTAGGGGATTTTACGAGAACCGGGAAATATGGCCGTATTAGAACAGAGGTTCGTAGGAAGATATGACAAGTAACCTCTGTGGGAAGAGAATGGGTTAGTACAAGTATAACGCTTCACCAAAACACAGCTGAGAATCGTCACACAAACCAGACCAATCGCGCAGTATAGCCTGTACTCGGAACTATCTGTTTTGGCCTATTAGATGTGAGCAAGTTGAAAAGTGAACTCTGAAGCATAAACAGGTGCTATTACTCTCACAAGAATACAGTGGAAGCTCTCGGCAGCCCTCCAATCCGGTATGCTCTCAATATCGGCACTAGAATTTGGTCCCGACAGAAGCTAGTTAATTTATGAGATTGACGCCCTCTAAGCCGGCGTCAGTGTATTCCGTATTTCGGCACAACAAAGGTCGCCTATTTGACTGTTTGAACAGTACTTAACACTCTCTAAACCGGCATCCGGTATCTCGGCTCTCCTGTTTATTGGCTGAACGTGTATTAACAACACAGTGAATTACCATCGGCATTAAGCTCATGGATGTTGCCTGATAAAAGGAGTATGGATAAGGATTAAGTAGGTGAGGTAAATTGGTGAGTGTATAGTGATTATTTCCGTGCTGCAAACTTACACTTTCATGGAGAGATTAAGTTAAAGGAGCAATTTAGTTAGCCAATCAATGAATGTATTGGCGGTTAATCCTTAGAAGGAAGGGCGTTTGTTTTTACAAAGAGACTTTACGACAGGATGTATTCAGTATAGATTAGTAAATCTATATACATAAACTCTACCTTTTGACAAATCCACTGTGCAGGATAAAAGCAATTAAACAATCAGCGTGTTACCGGTTAATCCTTTGATCGCTGTTTGTTTTGTAACTCAGCTGATAATTCCTCTTGCTGCACGTCCATGCACATATTACATAAGATATCATACATTTGCCACCTAAGACCTCAATTTATCATGTTGAGTATTTACTCCAGACACAAGAAATGCCAAATGGGAACCTTTGTCGGGTAATCTGAGCGGTGTTATTACTAATTATACCTGTTGTAAATTCATTAACTGACCATCAAGTCAATGATGACAAATAACATGTGTAGGTTTACCACCAAACAAGGGTTACAGCTAGAGTGTAGTAATCACTGTATTGCATGCAAGTTTGATTGCCTGAAAAATATCTTATGGGCCGACACTGATTTGAGGATACGAACGGAACTTCATTGTTACATAAGAAACATATGTAAGCATTTGCTGTGTACTTAGTTAAAAACTGTATATACCTATGTACCTAAGTAAAATGTCAGAGTTTTTAGCAATGGCAAAGTGGGGTTGTTTAGTTTATGGATTCAAATATATCAAATGTGTGTTTTTGATATCATAGCATAGGTAATAGACATCATATTTTTACATGATTAAATATCGAGGTAAAAAACACAGAAATAGGATCAAATTGGATCAGTCACTATACCATCCAAACATCTGAAAATCTGATAAAGCCTACACTGCTGGGATACTTTATTACAATCAGACAAAAAGTAGCGGGGATATTTTCAAATAAGGGCATCTGATGGGCATCCACCCTTCCTAATGTCCCACCAATTAGGTTGAAGAAATTCTGCCAAGGTGGACAGTAGCCCAGTCCCCGTGTCCGTCACGGTCGAGGGAGCAGAGGCTGACCAGTTTGCAGCTAGGTTTCGTAATTAGACTGTTGGCTGGAAACATTAATCGCTCTGGATCAGTGGCCCTTTAATTTATCAAACAATAACACCAGCATACCATGATTCTTTCGTCACTTGAATACTTATTTTTTCTTAGACGATGATGATGATGATGATGATGATGATGACAGCCGATATTGACAATAACGGATACCGGAATGGTGTATTACTTTTTTTGTTTAACAGGAAAAGGCTTCATTAGAGTCAACAGTCACTTCGATGACAAGCGTGCCCGTCCCCTTTAGACCATAACAACCAACATCTTGATACTAGTATCATACGTAACGTCACACATATTTATTTTGTATTAAATGCGATTTCATCTAAAAATGAAGTTTGTTGTCTTTGTCAAGGTGTTTCGTAACCAGATCTGTCTCTTGATCGTCATTGTAAAGAGATAATGTATCAAGCGACTTGTCTCTTGCGGCTCAGGGCGGTGGGGTTGCCTAGTGGCTAAAGCGTTCGTTCGTCACGCAGAAGACTGGGGTTTGACTCTCCACATGGGTACAATGTGTGAAGCCCATTCTCGTAACCCCGCCCCGATACTGCTGGGACATTGCTAAAAGCGGGGTAAAACCGTACTCACTTACTAACTTACGCTCAATTAACTAACAGTATTTAAGCTATATCATGAGACCCGTGAAGATCCGGGTTAGAAGATTGATCTTCAGTAACCCATGCTTGTCGTAAGAGGCGACTAACGGGATCGGGTGGTCAGGCTCGCTGACTTGGTTGACACATGTCATCGGTTCCCAATTGCGCAGATTGATGCTCATGCTGTTGATCACTGGATTGTCTGGTCTAGACTCGATTACTTGCAGACCGCCGCCATATAGCTGGAATATTGCCGAGTGCGGCGTAAAACTCACTCACTCACTATATCATGGCATGTCAGATTATTTGTGGAGGAGTGAGTGTGAGTGAGTTTGCTTTAGAAAGTATACACAGATGAGTGAGTGAGTTAGTGTTATGCAACATTTACGAATATTCGAGCACTATCACGTCGGGGTACACCTGAAATGAGCTTCACACTTCGTGACGAGCGTATATAAAGTTCTGCTGAGAACAGTGCAGATATACATCAAAGAAAACAGCAGTTCTATCTTCCTTTGCTGTTCATTTTTCAATGAACAGCTTTACCAACCCAAGCTTATTCATGAGCATGTATTTGGTTTGGTTCAGAAGTTGACCGGATTCAGATTCAGATTCAAACACACAATCCTGCCACGCACAAAGAACATTAAATTAGCTGTACATAAATGCTCCATTACAAAAGGGGCGGTGGAGTAGCCTTCTGGTTAAAGGGTTCGCTCGTCACGCCAAAGGCCCGAGTTCGAATCCCCACATGGGTACAACGTGTGAAGCCCATTTCTGGTGTCCCCCGCCTAGATATTGAACATTGCCTAGAACATTGCCAAAAGTGGCGGAAAACCATACTCACTCCATTATAAGAATAAACAATACGAAAAACACACAACAATTTAAGATAGTCAGGCTTTATTTCAAAGGAGGACTTCCTAAGAAGGCAGCCATTTTAGCCAGATCCAAGTACATCTTTGTGTAGGCCTATTGTATTCCTTGACAAGACAAGATCTTGTCACCTCCATGAGTGGGTGAGCCAAGTTTACTATTTCATGTAGTACTTATGGTATTTCACTATATCTGAATGTCAAACAAAGGCCAAAGTGAGGTATGTTGTTTATTACCCATGGTGCTAAAATAAGATAATATATAAAATATACACTTTGGGTCAAGTTCAAGGTGACTAAGGGAGACCACTTCTACCACCTGCATCACAAACTTATCCAATAACAAACATTAACTTCAATTACTTCATTTCTGACCTGGAAGCAGGAATGTCCTTTGACTAGATTTGATTGTCAGGGATCGATCACAGCTCACCAACCAGACATGACAAGGGAGACAATGCTGTAGCCATCCAACAGAGAAGGGACATAACTCAGCAGCCAGCAAACTGACAAACCAGAATGTTCTCCAAGACAGGCCTCGATACAACTCAAGCCAGGGTAACATGACATTTAGTATACAGAGCCCAGGCCGAGACTGTTCACGAAGATCAGTTCGAATCACTTCACTGTGTTCCCTTTGGGTGAAATCTAACTGTTGTATAATGGAACATGTATCTTGAAACAGCTGAACTATATTTTAAAATTCAGACAGATTACATATTTTTGTTTAAATTGTAGTGTACACAGTATGTATGACATATATGGCAATTGCTCAGAACAAACTCTGTATAAATACTATCAACAGTGAGACCTCTTATTATTATGTCTTTACAACTTATATCACTGTACAGGGCCGTATACAGCTTTTTGAGAAAAGGGGGGAGGGGGTGTTTGCACGCTCTTGAGAAAGGGGGTCTGCATACTTCAGTTTCACCCACGAGTGTTTCAATGGTCATTTAATAATCTTTCAGGACAAAAGGGTGTGTGTCCCATTCTGAATGAGCCTGTGCTCAGGGTCTGTATATCTGATATCAAAGGCATAAGGCTGAGATTCTAGATATCATTCAAAATCATTCTTAAACTGTAAACAGAAATAGCCATTGTCTTGTGTGTAAAATGCACAGCTCTGATTGGCCTGTGTGGATATACATGATATCAAATACACTGGATGATATCCTCATTTTATATCGTGGTCAGGGGGATAATTTACCATCATGCTCATATTTGCCAGTAGAAAAACATGAATATAAACTTGGTTAAACATGCAGTATCAGAGATATGATTATTGAAATTGGTTAGCACAAATTTAATGCTTCATACAGATTGTTAATAAATACTGGGAACACATTCCACATTCAATCAAGCAATTCTGGCAATGTTTTATGTTCATTTTGGACAGAACCTCCGAATGCTGTAAATATCCAGATATTTGTTTGTACTTCTCTATCTATATTAGGGACCGTTCATAATATATGGCTAGGGGGCATGATGATGATTTTTATGGAGAAGCATGTACAATGGCAATGACCCCCCTAAAATTTATGTACAAAATAAGTGATCCCCTCTTGCATGTCATGTACAAAATCGATGCCCCCACCCCACCCCTCCCTTCCCATACTTTCTAGCATAATTTTAAACATGTTTATGTACAAAATTGATGACCACCCCTAGTAATGCGTGTACAAAATTGATGAATCCCCTAACAAAATGGGTGACCCCTTAAAATCATCATCATCCACCACCCCACCCCCACCATAAATTATGAACGGTCCCTTAAAGTGGAAAATATTGGTTAATTTGTCTCTTTTGTAATGAAGTCCCCAAAACATAAATTCACCCACCCACCCTCTTCAGAGCGCCTAATGCTGAAAGTGTAACCTGTAGATAAGCCAACCCCCTTCCACAGATTGCATTTTGGAGTCCTCAAAATTCAGCTTATCTGAATGTCTACTGTCATATATGTTAATCCAGCATGCAGGGTTAAGAGTGAGTGAGTTAATATTTAACGTCACATCGGCAATATCTCAGCCATATCGTGACGATGCAGGGTTAAGAAGAGTGGAAACAATTGAACAGGCCAAAGTCCCTGTTCTACACTGCTGAGACATTGCTTCCTGTGTGAAACTATGTGCTACATGCCGTAAACTACTTTTAGAATAAACTGATAGTTATATATCAATTGTTTTCCCGTTTTAATCGAAATGCATACAACAAACTACTGTTATAACAAACTAAACTTAGTGGTTGCCTTGAGTTTGTTCTAACTGGAGTTTACTGTAAAGGTATTGTAGGATGTCACACAGGAGTGTGGCCTGGTATGTGTCATCATGCTCAAAAAATGACGACTCAGCACTGGTATGACGGAGTTGATGTCAGTGTGTTTGATTGGTTTCCATTTTTTTCCTTTCTGAAACAAATGGAAAATATTTCATCATAAATGATGTCCAAATCTTGTAACTGTTTATATTTTGTTTACGTGTTATGGTGGTTAGCTTAAACTGTCTCAGCGAAAATCTTTATAAAATAGAGACTTCATGAAGGGTATGATATTATAACAATTTATCACCATGACAGACAGACACCGTCATTGATACTGTTGAGTGAGTGAGTTTAGTTTTATGCCGCTTTTAGCAAAATTCCAGCAATATCAAGGCAGGGAACACCAGAAATGGGTTTGAAACATTGTACCCATGTGGGGAATTGAACCTGTGTCTTCGGTGTGATGAGCGAACGCTTTAACCACTAGTTAACCCCACTAGTTAACCCCCCTGCCCCAATGTGTCAAGTCATAAAAGTATCCATGTCATCCTTGTAACAACGACTTTTGTGTCTTGAAAATTGTTTTCCTTCTCTAAAAGTAACGATGGGCGTTACTCTGGTGTATCAATGAAAATGCTACGAAAAGATTCTAACCACCCGTTTTGGGATTATTCTGCAGTAAATATATGGGATGTCACCCAATGGAGGCCAGCATTGTGCAGTCCTAGCTGGGGTCAGCGAAGTGCCAGCACAACCAGATTGGTGAATGTTTGAGTATATTTCTACAGCTGCAATATAGTAGGTGTATAACGTTGTGGCCTCTATAATGAGTGTATAAGGTTTTAACTTTGGTTAAGGAGGAAACGAGGTTTGGGTGTTTTTATTTAGGGTGCGAGGTTTTAGCCTTGATGTTTAGAGTATGAGGTTAAGGTCTAGATAGTCAGGGAATGAGGTTTAAGGCCAGTGCATGATGAAGATCTGTACAAGTTTGAAAAGATATGTTCATAAGGCCATCCATATTTTGTTATGTGTTTCTCACCTCCAACCTCAACCAGTGGGCACACTCAAAAAATAGATGAAAATTCAAAACAATTTAAAATTGTTTCATTAATCTTGTAATAAATATAATAAAAACTTAGATCACTTCAAAAAATATTTTATAATGTAGCTTTGTTTCAGAAACAAGTTATTAATATATTTAGATGAAGAAACATCAGGCTGACCTGGGCTATTTTTTTTAAACATGCGTAACTAAGACTCTTTCTTTTTATGACATCACGGTATTCATTTCCATATTTGTAGGTAAGATTGAGATAGAAAACTTTCTATTATATCACAAACCGAACTCAAAATTTATGGCAGACAGAAGGAAACAGAAAAAATTATGGACAGCCTTACAAAATGAAATACACAATGCCATTTTAGAAAGTGATCAAATGTAACATATGTTATATTTGGGATTACACTTTCTTAGGAAAGTACAGATTCTAGTACTTTTGGGGGGTTAAGTCCCATGCAGGATTCGAATCCACACCCTCAGAGTCAGGAACCTAATCGCCAGCACACAAAGTCAGCCGCCTAGACCGCTGTAGGGCCTTACTAAGAAAGAGTAATCCCAAATATAACATATGTTACAGCCTTACAAAACATACAAATTGTGTTTGTTTCCATGGCAGCTAAACCCACCATCAGCAGATGTCAGTGCAGTGTGTCGGTCCTCCATTGCCATCCACATGTCTTGACAGTCCTTGGTCTTCTTGCGAGTATACGCATACGAGATCATGCTCCCGCCTAGCACAGAGGTCAGCAAGAAGGATGACCAGTTGTACGGGAGGCGTGTCTTCAGCAGTTCCTGTACAACATACAAACTAGCAGTGGCTGAAAAATATGAAAAAAATGTTTAATGGATCAGATTCTCTAAATCAAACATACATCCCTTCAGAAAACTGAATTTCACAAAGCATATTTGTCTCAAAATGATGAGACAAATGACATTTATCATTTTGTTGCAAAGCCATAAAACATACGTTCACACATTATAACAATAACAACATAAATTGTGAAATTTCTCATTCCAATTAGGCAAATTTTACAGACTATGGCTGCAGACTTGAATTGGGGTTGAATATCAGTGTTTAAGCAGGTCCAGTGTTTGCAATACTTTAATTTGCCAGTTGGCCATCAGGGCCTGCTGCCGCCGCCGCTTTAAAATCTACAGGCCCTGAATGAAATCTGCAGGCCCATTTTGTTATAGTCAATCCAATAAAAACAAAATAGACTACACTGTACACAGTTTCACACTGTTTCTACAAAATCAATTAGCGAAGCCTATTGCGTAGAGAGATGTTTCTATTTGTTAAAGACTGGTGTCGACATTCCTATATACAAAGCTCTGAAGTACCAGGAAGTGAAACTGTAAGTTATCGTAACATGATGGATCATGGATGATTCCTGAACGTTAATAAAGAAAATAAGTAAGGGAAAGATTCCTGGAAAAAAGACAGGTAATTCACTGAAGGCCACAAGGGCCTGCAAATATTTGAAACTGCCGGCCCGATACAATAAAAACCGGTTCTGGGCCTCCAGGCTGGCAATTATTTCGAAGGCTGAGCAGGTCTAGACAAATCCCTGCAATATCCATCAATATATTGTAATGGAACACCAGAAATAGTATCCCAAATGTCCCGGTCTACAGAAGGAAGAAAAATCTGACCACTAGGCTTGCCAAACATGTTTGAAATAACATTGTCTTACCTGTTGCAAAGGCAAATGTCCCTCCCATGAATGCTGAGGACTGGCACTTGGCATATGTCTCATAGTGCTGAAATCAAACATGATAATGATGATCATACCAATATCACAAGGTTATCTCATACTAATATTGCTAAAGGTTTATCATTAGACACGACTAAACATGATCTCGTGATCAGGCTCGCTGACTGACTGACTGACTGAGTTTGGTTTTACGCCGTTTTTAGCAATATTCCAGCAACATCATGGCGGGGGACACCAGAAATGGGCTTCACACATTGTACCCAATAAGTGGGGATTCGAACCCGGGTCTTCGGCATGACAAGCCAACGCTTTATCCACTAGGCTACCCCACCGCCCCAGGTTCGCTGACTTTTGTTGACACATCATTGTGTTCCAACTGCTAAGATGGATGCTCATGATGTTGATCACTGGATTGTCTGGTCCAGACTTACTTTTTTTACAGACTGCCGCTATATAGCTGGAATATTGCCGAGTGCAGTGTTAAACAAGGTTAATACCGATATAACTTATACTAAAGGTTCATCATGCTTCAGATGGGTTCATTTCCTTATCATAATCGGATGAAAGTACCACACCTGTTTCCCAATCTTAGATCTTTGAATCATGACTACTACATACTTCGATTGGCGTATAACGGTATTAAAACAACGGTTGTGAAAGCTTATTCTCGACCTGAGGACATGCATTCTAAATTGACAAGATACATTCATAAATAATAATGTCAAAGTCAGTGATTTATTTAAAAGGTGACAACCAACTGGATATTTTTCTTTCAGTTCGTCTGGGACTTTCCTATTCATGTTTGCTTGCAGGTATAATCAATGTGTAGGCATCAAGCAGTAATCGTGCTGTTACGATTGCTTTCAATGCCTGACATTGCCAAGTTTTCACACAAAGGGAGACAACTCTAAGATATTGATTATACTACTTTCCTAAACCATTTCTCAAAGATACGAGGGGCGTTCAAAAAGTAGTCAGCCTCACCTAGAAAATGATACAAATTTTATGTTTTATTTTCTACATATTATCTGTCAACCTCAAGGAAATTGGTTTTGCTGTGTTCCAGCCTCACGATCCCCATTTTGTTTGACTTTATATCTTGGTGCCCCCTTAAAACGCATAATATCCAATAAATGCATCACAAACTTCAGACAGATGTTTTTTCATAACCAGCAATGCATATTATATGTCATGAATAAGTGATAATTGTGTTTTAATTATGTTTGATTTTTTGGTTGCATGTGACCTTTAAGCTCGGAGTATTCATATTAAACACCGGCGTGGTGTCTTGGATAGCTAGGTCTATTCCAGCATTATCATGATTTCTGCCACACATTCTCTCGCATTCTATCGCTGAGGATAATTATAGAAATCGACATTAATCCAATTTCTTATTAACATCGTTAAATTTTCCGTTTGCAGGAACTGTTCACCATCTATACACGGATGCTATTCTTGGCACTTGAGTATTCCCGGCTGTGAGCAGAGACCATATAATATGGTCTCTGCTGTGAGGCAGACATCGGACCCGTGACATTATTTAAATATAGATATAACAGATATATAGGTAAAGTTGCTGTTTCCTTCTGTCCCAATACAGGACTAACCGACACTTAATAACCGTCCCCAATATAATACGACCCTTGAAAAGATCCCGGTTAGAATTGGTCTTCAGTAACCCATGCTGTAAGAGTGGTCGGGTGGTCAGACTCGCTGACTTGGTTGGCAGATGTAATCGTATCCCAACTGCGCAGATCGATGCTCATAATGTTGATCACTGGATTGTGTGGTCCAGACTAAATTAATTACAGACCGCCGCCATTTAGCTGGAATATTGTTGAGTGCGGCTTTAAACAATAACCAACCAAATGTAATACCCTCTATAGTATTCAGCATATCCGGACACCTTGAGTACTAAACATCATCTGGACAGAGGAGCTTGGTGTAACTCGGACACGGTATCTTTGCTTTATCGGGTCTTTATTCTTTAACTTCCTTGAGTGACATCTAAAAGTTGGTGTGATGAACGAACTCGATAGTTCGTATAGCACTGTTAAAGGAGGCATATTGTTTGAAGCACTTGTCAGATATTATACTACACTTGACCCAACGACAAACGGCCGTTACTGTCAACCCAGTAGGAGTCATAACTCTAAATATGGACTCCCTGGTTCCATTTACAATATTCTGATCACATAATTCACACAGAAGGTTAACTTCAGCAGTCAGTAAGATAACTTGTAGCACATGCAAGCTGACTGACCGGGACATATAATATATTTCAGAAAGAGAGAAACAAAATACTCCACCTCCTCCTTTGAGAGAAAAATACTTATGGTTTAAAGAACAGTTAAAACTTTTGACTTTTAAATGCCCATTAGAGAACTTAACAGTAATGTCCGAAAAAACCTCAGAGATCACTTTCTTGACATATCAACAGAGGTTTTATTTTACTTATTATCGATATAAACTGCAGAGAGGAATGTAGTATCTCTTTTCAAGGGAGATAATATATTTTCAAAATGGCGACTGTTGATATTCGACTGGCAAGTGCACGTGTTCGACAGAAGACGGGTGACGTCGAGGAGATCAACAATCTTGTCACGCCTGGGGATGTCATCACAACCGATACCGGATTCATGCGGTAAATGTTTTAAATTTAGATTAATTCGTGAACATTGGATAGATGAAGTTTAATACCGATACAGTTATGGTTGTCCATTTTTCGATCACCGTAAATGGTGTCTGTATCTGTAAAATTACTGCCCCACATCCGCCTGTTACATAACTGTCAACGGAAATATAATTGGGTTTTATGTTAGATAAAGATGATTGGGGGTAGGGCTGATCACCAAGAACTAATGATTAATTTCAATCTTGTGTTATGTTTCTATTTTGTTGTGACGAAAGCATGGCTTGAAGTCTGTCATCTTTGTTTCCAGTGGTCATGGGACTTATATGGAGGATGAGAAGCTGCATTCCTCAGTGGCAGGAGTTGTGGAGCGTGTCAACAAACTCATCTGTGTGAAGCCTCTCAAGACACGGTGGGCACAAACAGTACACCTTTTCATGATTTCTTTTTGACAATCTACTAGGCAGGTGACCTTAATGGCTTGGTTGATGCATGATATAGCAGCATGCCATTTGTGCATATCAATGCCCATGATGTCAGTTGCTTGATTGTCTGGTCCTGACTCAGTTATTTGATAAAAACATGACAGACACAAACGAAAACCTTAACCTTTGGTTTCAAAAATTGTTTTTCGTCCCTGACATCTCCAAAAACAGATGTGACAGTATGTGACTAAATGTATTGAGTGGTCAGGCTTGGATGATGGTATGAACATGGTGAAGGTGGCATTATAATAATAATAATGTGTCCATTTATGTAGCGCCAAACTCCACACTAGGTATGCTCATAGCGCTAACAATCAAGGCACAGCACATTATTACCCCGAATAACCCAAGCTGCCTGTTAGGTGCTAGAAGGTTATAGTCATATGACTTTTTCCACCAGGTACCCATTTTCCTGCTGGGTGAAGAGAGACAATTTTGAACAAACTCACTTGACTAAGGTGAGACCACATGTGTCACATGTGCTTCGTTGTGGGCATGGAATGTTGCTCATGACATCAATCATTGGATTGTGTGGTCCAGGCTTGATTATTTATAGACTGCCTTCCTAGAGCTGGAACAAGCTGAGTACTGCAGCTGTGGCAATAGTATAGTTAACACTCACTCACTCACTACACAATGACTACACATACTTTGTAAGAGAAAACATAACCAGTTTATTTGACACTTCCTGGGAGGCTTTTGTTAGCGATAGTACAGACTGTGTGACATGACAGCCTGCAGATCCTGGTTGCTGGCCTTCAGTAACCCATGCTTGGTGTAAGAGGAGCCTAACGGGATCGGTTGGTCAGGCTCGCTGACTTGGTTGACACACGTCATCATATCCCAATTGCGTCGATCAATGCTCATGCTGTTGATCACTGGATTGTCTGGTCATCGCCATACAGCTGGAATATTGCGAAGAAGCCAATAAACCAATCGATCAAGCCTTTAGCTATTATGAAGAACCTCTGTGAATATAGTAAAGTTAGCAGATTGGTCAAGATTCTCAGGCGTGTTCTTTGATTTGTCTCTAACTCTGAGTACCACAATGTTGGCACCAGAAACAGCATCATGTCTTATGGCATGATGCAGGGGTTGAAAAATACCATTGCCCGGCGCCATGGTCCAGTGGAATTATCCGGTCGGTGATGTAAATATCAACAATAAACTTTACCGTGGTACAGCAGTGCCAAACTGCTGAAATCAAATGTTTTGATATAAGTATTTTGATGATGAAATAAAAATGCAATATTGCTTCCAATTGATAAAGATTATTTGCAAAAGAAATCAAATTGGTATTTGTGGTCAAGTCAAATTATTATTTGGTCAAGTGGATTTTAAAGTTTACTGGACCTGTGTCCAGTGGAGTTTTAAAAAAAATTCAACCCCTGATGATTTATAATGAGTGTTGAGTTAGGTGATGTGATACCAACTTGTCTCCATCAGGTATAACGGTGAAGTAGGGGATGTGGTGATTGGTCGGATCCTAGAAGTGTGTCAGCGACGCTGGAAGGTGGAAACTCACTCCAAGCTGGACTCTGTCCTAATGCTGTCTTCGGTCAACCTCCCGGGGGGAGAACTGGTATGGATATTTACACATTGAATTGGCAAGAAGTGTTTTCTTTTTTTATCTGTCTACAGATTTTTTACATCATAGAAAATGAAAGACTGAAACATGGAATCAAAAGGTCCTTCTGATTTGTTTTTGAATTCAAAGTTACATATTAACCACAAAATCTATAGGATTACAGGTTATAGTAGGTTAGACAGCAAGGTTAAAAGTTACGGAACTGCAGTTGGAGACAAGCGTGTGTGTAGCAGTCCACATTCATGGTAACCCGCTAGCCTACGACTACTAAATTATGCTGAGGACTCTAGAAATCTGATACTTGCAGTCCTCAATGACTTGTTGCATTTGGGGACTGTAATTCTTAATTTTTCTCCACTGCCCCAAAGAATTTCTACGAGTTGGAGCTGACTATAATCGACATAAATTGTAAATGAATGTAAACAGTTTTGTCTTGTTCAAGCAGAACTAACCAGGCTAACTACAAGTTCTGAGAATCAGTGAAATAGGCTAACAGTTGTCTTTTGGACTGGTTCTAAAATTTGAATTCTAAAGTTGTTCTGGTTTCAAAACCTGTTTTATAGTAGCGAATATCAATGTTGAAGTGACTGCATTTTGACTGGTTCTTTGTCAACAGCGAAGAAGGTCGGAGGAGGACGAGAAGTTGATGAGACATTACCTAAAGGAAGGGGACCTCATCAGTGTATCCTTGGTGTATAACTATTACATTCCTTATTTACCAGTGAAGACCTGCGTTGGAACTGGCCTCCAGCAACTCTGCTTGTCGTAAGAGACAAGGATGGCTAGTCACATGGGTGAAGTAGGTTGATGCATAACGTCGTGGCCTACATTGATGCTCATGATCTCAGTGACTGGATTGTCTGGTCCAGATTCTGTCTACAGACTGTCGTCGTATAGTTGGAAGACTGCTGTGTTTGGTGTTCATAGATGCAGGCACACACATCCCTTATTGATGACTTAGTTAGAATCGGTTCCCAATACTTTACTGTTTGCCAGAGGCCTGAATCGATAGGATGACTCAAGTTGCAGATTGCATGTAGCCCAGTCATCTGAGGTGCTACAATTCTTAATGTAGAGTTGTGTCCCTTACATTTGTCAGGAGCATGTGATTGTGAATGATTCGGGTTGGCCCTGATCATATTCCTAGGCCTGTCTGCTTGTGGGTTTCACAAAGTTTCACAAAGCTCTCTTCCCATATTGTGCTGTCATGCTGTGATATTGCTGACATACTGGGTGTTTTTTGGTTTTTTTAATATTTTTATTAATTTCAGTGAGGAATATACAGAAATATATGAATGTAGTACAATGTAATGGATCTGTTGCTGACATACTGTTAGCTTTAAACCCAATTCACTCACTGTTTTACATTAAGCTAATACAAAGACCATTGGAGTGAGTGAGTATGGTTTTTACCTAGGCTTTAGCAATATTCCAGCAATATCAATGCGGAGGACTCCAGAAATATGCTTCACTAATTTTACCAATGTGGGGAATCAAACCTTGATCTTCAGCGTGATGAGCAAACATATTAACAATAGGGCTACCCTACCCGTAAGATTATTAGAGCTAATCAGTTGATGATATGGTCTGTTATTTTTCCCTGACTGAGCCAGGCAGAGGTGCAGAACGTCATGGGGGATGGATGCTTGTCTCTACACACCAGAAGTCTCAAGTACGGGAAGGTATGACAAGGGGACTCGATACTGCCGTTGTCATTACACACAATCATCTCGGAGCCTCATTTAATCTTTCCACATGTTTACCTTGGAAACATTGTAACAACATTAACCTGTCATACTATATGTGGTACATGATTTGGGGTTGGTCAGTTGTATAATGGGAATTCAAACCATTTTGCTGTAAGAAATTTGAGTCAGAAATTGGCTCCAAGAAAGATGAGTCAGAAATTAAGTTAAAGAATGTTTTCTTTATTGCTTGGTTTTGAAACTTAAATACGAGATACTGAAAAGAAACCAATATTGAATTTTCAGAAAAGTGGTATTGACACTATGTGGTATCTAACTCACAGAACCCTGTATATCTCTAAACCTGGCAATTATGGACGTGAATGCTCTATATATGCATATGTGGTATTACCCTACAACTGTAAATTGTTAGTTAGTTTGTTAATCAAATTATCCCAGTTGGAATGTGACCATCCAGGATAACAGAGTTTCACAGTGCATATTAATCATGTTGAACTAGAAACATTTAAACTCTTGTGAATAAGTAATGGGTTGATAAAAGATTGACGTTATTATGTTTGTTGACAGTTAGGTCAGGGTACGCTGCTTCAAATCTCCCCCTCACTCGTAAAGAGGAGGAAAACCCATTTTCACAACCTTCCGTGTGGAGCGTCCATCATCCTTGGCAACAACGGTTTCATATGGATCTCCCCAACCGCCAACGAGGACAGCGACGACACCGGCGGATATGAACAAAACCTAGAGGTGAAATACCCCTTCACGTTATATTCATTGGTTGATACTTTCTCTCTTTGTTGACAATGTTTGTCAGATATGCAGCCAAAACATTATCATGTTCATGTCACAGTGTTGAGGAATTATTTTTATGAATTATTTATTGTTTTTCGTAATTTTTAAGATATACTTACAACTTATTTTAATAATGATTTAAATCATTCATTTTTTTTAGCTCTAGCAATTTTAATTTTTTTAATAAAGTTTTTAATTTATTTTTGAAAGTAGATTAACATAAACACAGCTTTCTTTTATTTCAGAATCAATGTTTTGAAGTCATCAGATTTGTAAATCAAGTTTCAAAAAATCTCTGTGATTAACATTAAATACACTATGAGATTGTCATGGAATATCAAGACAATATGAGATTGTCATGGAATATCAAGACAATATGAGATTGTCATGGAATACCAAGACAATATGAGATTGTCATGGAATATCAAGAGCAGTGGTGTATTTCATCTTATTGGTCATCACTGTCAAAGGCACTTTGACACTTTTAGTGAAACTCTAGTCTCTGTGTTGATATGGTTCATTGCTCCGTTTCAGTTTCTGGATTATCTGCCCCAGACTCAATATCTTACAGGCCATCCTCACATGGCTGGTGGATGGTGGGGTAGCCTAGTGGTTAAAGCGTTCACTCGTCATGCCTAAGGACTGGGTTCAGTTCCCTACATGGGTACAATGTGTGAAGCCCATTTATAGTGTCCCCTGCCATGACATTGCTGGAATATTGCTGAAAGCGGCGTAAAACAATACTCACTCACATGGCTGGAATTTGTTGAAACAATATGCACACACCATCATATTTGATAGTATTTTCAGATATTTTTGGTAGTTATCTGCACATTTTTGTGACACTAACGAGAATTTTTAACCTCCTTGCAGCCAGTCCCAAGAGCAGATCGTGAGGTGATAGCGCGACTCCGAAACTGTGTTCTGGCGTTGGCCGACCACCAGGTGATGATGTACGACACCACTATTCTGTATGTGTACGAGGCCTCTGAGAACTATGCAGTAAGTTGAGAAAGGATATTTAATGAATGGGTTTCACATTTGGTCTCTGCATCAAGGGTTCAATATTCTCAATATCAGCCTTACACGCCACCATATAGCTGGCAAAATTGCTGAGTGTGGCATTAGACAAAAAACAATATCATCCTATCTACATCACAGACATTTAGAAAGGATGCATGACTTCCCATATGGCCAAAAGAAGGCGGCTTTTGGAATTGTTGGAGCTACTTCAACTGAAGCACACACCTAAGACTGTGACTCTAAACCTTCAGGTAACTAGGGTTGCATGATCCCTAGGGAGCTGAGAATAGAAATCAAGTGATGGAATATTTATCATGTTTATCTTTAGTATATTTTCTATATCCATCAATAATCCTGTAACCAATCAACCAAGATGTCTGACAGTACCAGCCAGCAGAAGAATGTTTATGACCTGCTTATTCATTGCCATTGGCTCTTACAAGTCCAAGTATTTGTTTGTTTGTTTCAGGTTAGTGAAATGTTGAAGCCAGAAGTATCGGCAGAGTTAATTGACCTTGTTCGTCAGAGGCTGGAAATGGAAGGCACCTAAATGTGTCTTCTCAGTATTTCATTGGTGTTGCATTGATTCAAATAGTTACAGACATGGCAAAACTGAAGCTGCTGCAAGACATAGTAGTGCTTTGGAGAAAGATTGTGGTTCATGGACCTTTTTCTTTCATGCAGCGGTTTGAAATATTCCAGTTATATTACCGCAACCTGTAAATAATTAAGTTTTGATGAACAAGGTTGACTTGTTTAGCAAGGATACTTACATTTGTCAGGGGAAGACAAGTGGATAACGCCTCAGCTCATCACGCCGAAGACACGGGTTCGATTCCCCACATGGGTACATTGTGTGAACCCCATTTCTGGTGTCCCCCGCCGTGATGTTGCTGGAATATTGCTGAAAGTGGCATAAAACTAATCTCACTCAGCATCTGTTAGGGCTCAGGAAGATCCAGGAGCGATAAACAGGATTGGATTCCAAGACGGTGAAAGAGGTTTTAGAAGGATGCAAAATGCCACATCAGACATACGACAGGCTTGCTGACTTGGTTGACACATCAAATCTGAGTTGTATCGATCGATGCTCATGATGTCAATCACTGATTTGTCTGGTCCAGACGTGATTATATACAGACCTGCCATAGCTGCAAATTGCAATGTGTGGCACAGAGCTACAGATAACTTTTTGGGTCATTGAGTTATGTACTCACTTGTGTTGATTTCAATTGGGTATCCTAATTTTTTATGAGATAACAAGGGAAACCAGTAGTTAATTGGTTGATGGACAAGTGGAAGCCGGGGATCGCTAATCCAGGCATGATTAGGGTAACAAAGGTGGCACTTTAACATGGGATACGAAAAACAAATGGAAGCCAGGGGGATATAATTAGCACTATCTTGGTGGATGGACAATTTGAAGCCAGGGATTGTTAATCCAGGAATAGTTGATGAGGTAACAATAGTGGAATATAACCAGGGGGTAAGAAAACTAATGGAAGCCCGGCCTAAAAGTAATAATTACAAGGAAAATGAGGCCAGCAGTGATGATTAAATTAGATTAATAAGTACTTCAATGGTTTGAAAACTTTGCATTCCTCCATCACCTGTGAATACATTGTGAACATAAGCAGTGTTATAGTAATCTGTGTTCGTCTGTGAATGAAACGAGGCCTTGTGTTATTTCATTGAAGTCGAAAGAAGACTGTGCATGAACTTTGTACTAACCCCACCATTGCCTCATATTGAAACCATGTGTGGGGTATTTGTTGCACGGAAATATTGCTGATCTATTTTGAGTGCTCATTGATCTGATGGCAGGCTTGTATGTATTCTCAGAATCCTGATTCATGAAGTATTAATCATGTTGATGGTTTGAAACCTTAACCATAACAGGTGGATATTTTTAGTTTTTGTCTTTGAATTTTTTTTTAACTTGTCCTCAGACTGAATTGACTCATCTAACTGTAGGTGAGGTGAGGTGAAATTGGGTTTAACGTCGTACTTGAGAATATTCACTCATATGACGACGTGCATGTGTGTGTATGTGCGGCTGCTTGTACTAGCCCAGACTTCAGCTGGTTTTATAGTGCTAGCCCACTGAGATACCATGCCGCAGTGAAGCATGGATACCCCACTCAGACACATTTTACTGACTCCGAGCCGACCAGTCCTTGTTGTACCCATTAATGCCGAGCGCCAGGCAGGGACCAACAAGTACCATATTTTAAGGTCTTTTGGTATGACGCGGTCGGGGCGGACGCTCTAACCACTACACCACGGAGGCGGTCCCTAGAAATATGATCTGGGCCAACCCGAATCATACACAATCACATGCTCCTGACAAATGTAAGGGACACAACTCTACATTAAGAATTGTAGCACCTCAGATGACTGGGCTACATGCAATCTGCAACTTGAGTCATCCTATCGATTCAGGCCTCTGGCAAACAGTAGAGGCGGTAATTGGTAATTGTATGGTAGTACTTCGTGTTGCAAAAAAAAAGATGACTTCTAGAACAACACTGTCCTATGACAAGGTTCTCCCCCCGCTCTCAGATGATTGATCACACATGCTGTATCATGTATCATGTACCATTATCATGTCTGTGATGACAGACTCTGTGTCGTTCATTGTAAAACTTGGTGTACATAAAAAGCATTATTTACTGTAAATGTGTGATTATTTTATTTCTTGAAAACAAATCTTGGTGTTCACATTGTGCCATGGCAGGATCTAGTCAGAATCATCCCAAAGACATTATTCAGTAACCATGGTAACACCCGTATGGGAAGTTCAGGTGAAAACTGACCACCGAGTACAGTTTTGATTACAGTTTTGACTAAAAGAGGTGATAAACCTCAAGACAGAACACCATCATAATCATAATACAATCTACAACAATCAAAAACCCTCTACAACGCTTTCATTTATGTTTATTACTTGTGAAATAATGCAAATGACATGATTTGTTATCTACAGGATCCTTTTTTTAAAATGCAGGCATGAACGAAAATAATTGACCTGTGGAAGTTTTTATGGCTAAATTGTGAAGTACTGTACTCTCTACACGTCACACTGCATCCACTTCCTTCAGTAGTGTTTTCAACTCCCCAGATTCGTGAAATCTCGTAATTTCTTTGAAGCCACCAACATACTTTCCTTTCACAAAGAGTTGGGGGACCTGAAAGTGAAAAATATTTCAACATTTACAGCAGACACTAAGACAACAATGACACCAGATGTATCACAGTGTATCACTTCTGTTTACCTCGCTTCACTTACCATTTGTTTACTCCAATTTGATGTTTGTTTTGTTTTGTTTACTAACACACTTAGAAGTTGTGTTTTGATCACTGGCCGTCTCACAGCAAAAGATGTTAAAATATGCTATCTGATGATTGACATTAAGAGGTAAACCAAGTAAAGGACTGATTTACATAAATTGTAGTCATTTAATGGCACACACACAAACAAAAAATTATCATTTCAAATGTTCATGTCATACAAGTCATTCGGCTACCCATAAATATGACATGTTTGACAACTGATATTGTATTGAATACTGAGTTCAATAAGTGCACAGATGTGTTTGTGAGTGAGTGAGTTTAGTTTTACGCCGCACACAGCAATATTCCAGCTATATTGCGGCGGTCTGTAAATAATCGAGTCAGTCAGTCACTGCTCTGGTCACTCAGCAATATTCCAGCTGTCTGTAAATAATCAAGTATGGACCAGACAATCCAGTGATCAACAGCATGAGCATCGATCTACGCAATTGGGAACCGATGACATGTGTCAACCAAGTTAGCGAGTCTGACCACCCAATCCCGTTAAGTCGCCTCTCACAACGAGGATGGATTATTGAAGATCAATTTTAACCCAGATCATTCATGTCATTCACATTTTACATGATCCATAAAAATCATCATCACCCCCACCCCACCCCACCCCCTTTGCCATAAATTATGAACGCTCCCTTAGCGTCTGAACACCCATAACAAGCGGATATGCGTACGAATGTAGTCATCCGTGTTTACCCTAGTTCCAGAGACTAATAAAACTGCATTTAAAGTATTTAATTAGCTAACATGTTAAGCAAGTGATATGTTTACCGCTCTGCTGTCAGTCAGACATAGAATCTGGAAGTAGTTTTCCAACTGGTTGCAGTCTTGGCGTTTTTCAATCTCCACAACTTCGTATGTCTGAGGTGGCATTTTGTATCCTTCTAAAACCTCTTTCACTGTCTTGGAATCTGGGCAGTATGTCTTTGAAAACAGTAGCACCTTTCGTTGTGCTAATTTGGCATCAACAAACGGCTGTGCACCTGCCATTGTAGTGTTTTTGGAACAGTGCACGTGAATGTGTTTACATTGGCAACTCCTTGTTGTCATTGAAATTTCTACCTCCTTTGTGGAGAGTTCAGAGAGTTGTCCCCCTTCTCACCAAACTCCTTGACAGCACCTCCAAGGGCATAACGAATATTGTGTGTCAGTGCGAGGAGTTCCGAGTTTTCTTGAAATTTATCAGCGATCATCTCTCAGTCCCCTGTATTTTATTTTTAATAAATATAAAATAACCCAACATTGTAAAAATAATTTATTGCCATTATACATGGTTTCACATATGATAACTGCTTAAAATAGCACCACAGATTCTCAATAAAAATACATGAACACAAGACCAAACGAATGTGTCTTTCAAAAATGACACATGGTGCTGTTAGTTGATGTTTTGTAACCATATTACAAGGGATGCGAGCACATGTAACAGCATGCAAGAGGATTAGCTAACAAAAACACGAACACAAAACTACTACAAGAACAACTAATCATTATCAAGCAGACTAATATTAAAGAACAAACTAGTTCACCATAAATTGTGTTGTCTTTAAAATCACTATGCCAGAAATTGTACATATTCATACTGCTGCTATACTAATATTGCTCATAGGCCTTTTTTTAACATGTGACAAAATCATGTGTTGCAAAGATCATTTTTTTCTGGATTAACTGAAACAATGATTAATTGTGTGAACAGAATTCTCTGACGAAAATCTGTTTTGCCAGTTCCAAACTTTGGTTTAAAATGGGTTAATTTTTCACACATTAAGACTTACTGCAGCATTTGGTTGATGAATAAACTCTTGCTTACAGTCAAAAGAACACTTGTAACTTTCATAAAATTTCTTGAAAATGAATTTTCCTATTTTCTAGCATTCTAATATGTCCTTTTCTTACCCTGCCTCTACATTCTACATATTACCAGCATACATGTAAAAATTAAACACTCTCTTTTCAAAGGAATCTGAATTCAAAGCAAGGAACAGTTATTAAATGGTGTGATGCAATCAATCAATCAAATGTCACAGTGAAAGGGTGAAACCCTTATCTTGCACACTCAATCTTCATTTGCCTTTGCAAAAACAATATTTTAGCACTACCCATGATTCACAAAGTCCGTTTAATAAAAAAATAATCTGTGCACTTATCTGAGATTATTTCCACACTCCTTTTCCTACCTTATCTGGAAACTGGAAATAATGATGAAACATATGAACAGTGTATAAAACATAGCCCGTCCCACTGTCCTTGATGGTCTATTTTTGTGAAGGACGGTCTATTAAATAAGTAAGGCCGTCCTTAGGTTGGGGGAAATATTTGAAAAAATATACTTAACTTGGTTTGAACCTCGTGTTATCTATTTTATTCATTGTTTTAGTTTTTGGGACTGGCTGTGTTTGTTCAGGACTGGTCACTTTTTGGGACAGCCAGTCCTTGGACAAGCCATATTTCAAAACTTTTTTATACACTGATATAAAAGGGAGAGTTCCCACATGCACAGAGTCATCACCACTTTCATTCAGACTAATGCCCAATGAAACATTTAAAGCTACAACTATTCCACGATATTTAAATAAGTATTAAAACTTTACTTTTTATATTTAAGACAACTAAATATTAAACCCCATAAGCCCAGTAGGAATTCCTGGTTATAATTGGTTCCCAACAACCCATGCTGATAATATCAATCACAGGATTGTCTGGTCTTGGCTTGATTATTTTGGCCGTTGCTATATATGAACACAATAATGCTGAGTGTAGAGTTAAACAAGCATCAAACAAAAGCAGAAATATTACTTTGCTAACAGAATTATTCAAACTTGGTTCAAAGAGAAATATATGTTATATATGGGATTACACTTTCTTAGTAAAATACAGATTCTTGTACTTATGTTTGGTTGAGTCCCATGCGGGATTCGAACCCACACCGTTAGAGTCAGGCACCTAAGCGCCAGCACACAAAGTCAGCTGCCTAACCCGCTCAGCCACCATGACTTCCACAAAAATGGAAGTCGGACAACTGGTAGCCTAGACTGCGGACTTTGTGTAGCCCTCTGATAAGTGTTAATTGGCACAGATCCCACTTCCGAAAGCTATGGGACAGCCTGCATGGGACTCAACCTAACAAAAGTACAAGAATCTGTACTTTACTAAGAAAGTGTAATCCCAAATATAACATATGTTACATTTGACCACTTTCTAAATGGCATTGTGTAATTGTAATCAGGGTTCAAAGAGAACACAACATGACTTACATACATTTGAAAATGTTACTATAAATAGTATATTTATATACTTATCCTATCTCACGGTATGCACCTCTCTTCTTCTTCTACGACCATGTGTGGAAACGTGCTGTAGTCTAATAATACTTTACAACTGTGAAGATGCATAACCCAAGGAGGCCAGGAGAAAACACCAACACCCGATATGCAAACTCCAAACTTGTGATGGGTTGCTTCAGATAACCCCTTGGCTTACACAGCACAAAAACTCCAGGGAGTGGGCGATCCCGAATTAACTTTTGACAAGAAAAGGACGCAGTTTGGCAAGTAGGCCCTGCCGCCCCATGATTTATCAGGTGACCCCAGTGAATTAAAGCCGAGGACCTTAATCTGGCCAGTCCCTGCTTCGAAACTACCCCCCACAGACACACACTGGAAGGCGGTGAAAGAGGGAATAGCCCGGTTGCTCAACTAATTTTACGTTCAGTACCAATCCCCCTAACTTACCAAAGGTGAGAAAGGACTTTAGAGCGGAGCGCTTCAAAAACCACACAGGTAATCGGAAATCAACACTTCACTGACGTAATTGTTGAGAGAGTAGAGGTCAGTAAGCGGAGTGTCGACCACCTCTGCATGTAGCACAAGACTGGCCTCTCAGTCTATTGAGTCATAACTATGACAGTGCAGACACGCCCTAGTACCCTAGGTGAGGTGGTCTATGCCCAATATAATCCATACCAATAAGAAAGATAGGACCGATATCTTTCATGACATAGAGAATGCAAAACCTACACGAAAGTAGGAACTGCATCTTATCTGCGTTTGCCAGCCGACGACAACTGCTACGCCAGAACCAATGGACCCAGATGGTGAAGACCTTCCACGTCAGTGACAGACAGATCCCGGAGGTAGGGTGAGACAAAGACCGAGTCCAACTCCAAAAACAACCCTCCATGATGCTGTGAAGAAAACAGTTTTTCGTTGTGCCATCGTAGAGGTCAAGGCTTCTTGGGATGGCTAGAACGTCGTGTTCCCAGGCCAAAGGATCCGGGATCAGGGACACGAATATCGGAAGCAGGTGATGGAAGCGGGTAGCAAACAGATCCACTGTCGGGTCAGACATTGGAAGGCACAAAGTCTGGAACACCTGCGGATGCAGTTTCCACCCCATCGGGTATGGTCGAACCGGACTGGACAAAGAATCTGCAATGACGTACTTCAACCCTGGGATGTGATTGGCCTGAACCGTGATGTTGAAAAGGGCCACTAAGTGGAAAAAACTGTTGTGTCCACTAAAGAAGCTGAGGAGACCCCGTGGATCCCATTCGATTGATGTGCCACACAATCGCAGCATAGTCCGATCGAAACAATAGCTTGGTTGATTGTAACAGGTGATGCCAATGAGTGATGGCAAGAATCACTGCCCTAAGCTCCAAATGTTGATGTGACATGCGCAGTCTGCGGCAAACCATAACCCTGCCACTTGCTGATGGAGAAAGTGAGCTCCCCGCCCGTGTAGAAAAGTGACTACATACAGGCGATGTACTGGAGCAAACGGCCTTAAAGAGACTCCACTGTAAATATTCAACCCATCCAACCACCACTGGAGATGGAGCGCTGGAGGAAGAGAGATCAATGCGTGAGGGACGCCAAACCTGATGTGCTGACCCAGAAAAAAGTGGAAAGGCCGTAGTTGAAGCTATCCCCTGAGAGTCAATGCTTGAGCTGACGTCAACAGACCCAGAAGTTCTTGCCACTGACAAAAAGTCCTGATTTGTGAGAGTGCTAGGGGTACCAAGTCCAGCGCAGACCTTCTGTTCATCGGGCCACACTGAAGGACTGGACGAAGTGGTTCAGGAAGGCGAAACAATTCCTTTGGGTTCAGTTATCAACCTCGAGATACGAGCGTAGAATCGCAGTATCTGTTGAAGTTGGAGATGGCCTCTGTACGTTGGGGCTTAAGCTGACGTCAGAAGGCCTAGCAACTATCGCCACTGAAGAAAAAATCTCTCCTGAGATAGGATACGTTCCAGTAGCCAAGCTACCATGACAGCACTGAAGAAGTGCTGAATGTATAGGAGGTTCGTGGCATGGAGATGTCAGTCAACCTATAGGAACGTACACATTGTACACAGTGATGAAGGCTGTATAAACAGTGATCGTAGGAACGTATAGTTCGCCAAATGAAGTGTTGGTCTGCCAGATGGAGTGACAAAGTTAGTAGATGCGATGCATGGGTCTACCGGAACATTCGTAAAGTTTATGGAATGGCAGAGGTAAAAAAGACCAGTGACCCCAGGAACGTTCGTAAAGGAGACGAAGGTAGTAACACCGATGCCTACGAACAGTCCGGACATAGCTGCAGTGACCTCTGAACTGAGGCCTTAAGCTAAGAACCGAGTAAACCCAGCCAAAGTGAAAGCGTCATGGCGGTTCTTTCTGGCACCCTCGGTAAACTGTTTCTCCCGGCTGACTGACGAAACTTGACATAATCACTCTTACCAGGAATGGCACTGTCCATCATCACTGGCAATTAAAGGCTGGGATAGTTATCCGCTTTGTAGGACCAAGACAAGTCTGTCAGGGCACTCCATAGTCACTCTAATTATCAAAAAAATCTCTGGTAAACAAACAGTAGTCCGCCATTGCAATCGTACGGTGCAAGGTACGGGAAAAGTGTTGAAAGCCAGTGTATGAAAGAAGACCCGTCCAACCGCCCAAGACGGTCTAGATTTCTGACGGACGGTCTACATTTACAGCTAGCCAGCCTGACGGTCTGGTGAAAATTTCAGATGTTCCATACATCTGAGTAAATTCACCATATTTGGCCAGGTTAAATCCATGTCTGGCTGGACTTTTGGCTTATTTCATAAAATAGAGTATATAACAGCTGTGTAGCAATGTAACTTGTGACATTTTGCCAAAGCCCCATGCATTACTGTCATCCAAAACATTAGGCTATGTGCTGCATTGTTGTGATGCTAGTTTTCCTTATAAAAATGTCACTGAATTTTTTTTAATTTAGCAACTGCAGGATGCATTTGTTAGTTTAATCACTTAATACTAAACATAAGGTATTCTTGAATAAATATTCATATCTGTTAGCCTATATTCATGAAACATATCATATTTGTCTCATAGCTTATTATCTGCAGCTCTTGTGCTGACAAATCTTGAATATTGAACAGGGAGAAAAAAAAATGCTGAACCAAAGTATTATGTCAAACAAATGAAAACAGATTCATAAATTCAACAGTGATGCATGTATATATAGACAGATTTTGCTGATTGAGCAAGCTTAGGCAAATCATACATCTGGGTAACATAGCGTCCAGTTCCAGTAAATGCCCACCTATGTGTGATAACCTAATTTCAAATATCCTCCTCTATCAAGGACTTATTTACATGCAGAGATTTTCTTCTCATCTTTATTTTGTATAATTAACCTCAGAATGAAATATAAAGAAACTTAATCACAAGCTAAAACTAAAAATCTAAACTGCCGAGCAAAAGAAAGTACACAATTGATGGTGATTAAAAATTAAAAATGAAACAAATCTTAAATCAGTTTTTAATAGTGATAGATTTTATGCAGGTACCGCAGTTGTTCTTTAGACCTTCAGTTTTCAGTTTTTCAGTGACTGTTTTGAGCCTAGAAAGTTTTGATAATGTTTGTAATATTTTGTCAAAACCAATATTCAAGTGTATCTCTTTCGCTCAGCAGTCAACATTTTAATGAACACTCATTCTTTCATGTACTCTTCAAAACAGCCATGTCTGATATGATGTTTTCATTAAAATGAATTTTTCTATGTTTTCGTCAGAAAACAACAACAACAGCCAAGATCAGGCTTTTGATACACACAATATTTTGATTACAACATTTTTTTACCAGTGTTGTTTCAAAACATGTTGGCAGTGAGAGAATGAAACTATCTACCTCAGACATCAATATTCACGGATACAGAATGACAATAACAAATCAGGTCAGACTGGTCTTCATGAATTTTACGTAAGAAGCAACATTCATGTACCATAAATGCAAATAAATAGCTAATTTGGCAGAGTGGTAATACATATGTTGTCTGTAATAATATATATGCCATTAATTGTTGAAAGCAATTTGGGTTAGAATATTAACAGATCATATATTCATCTTACTGTGTAAATACGGACGGACGATTTGACAGCTACATACAAAGCCGAGAAAACTAACTACAGAACTACACTAGTCTATATGTAAATTCTAAATACAAAATAACGGGTAAAAGTTACTCAATCGACAGCTAAATACAACGCAGACCTTAACTAGCTACAGAACTACACTAGTCTACATATAATTTTATAGTCAAAAAACTTTTTCCGAAAAAGGACTCTGTTTCCTTCTGAACACACTGGTCAGTCTGAAAATGTCAACATAAGTCTTCACTAAATATGAAATTGCACTTTCTGACAATTTGTTGAACAACGTTTGTGGTATTTAGGGCTTCACTATGTATTGCACAATTATAGTTTTTTTATATTTATTAATTCATGACCATGACGGTCGTTACACCAACATTCACCCTGTGTACCGTTTTACATTGCCTCATCAAATAACTGAAACAGACATGACAAATCCATATTTTGTTGAAACAAACATAATTTCTAAATGCTTTTCCTTCCCCTTAGCCCTGATGAGTGTCTGGTCCTTTATTTACAGGGATGAGATTGGGTATGAGTGTAAAAAGAGGAAAAGGAGCCGGGGGTGATGGAGGCTGTCCAATGACCCCAGTGCGATCAAATCTACAGATCCGTGGAAAGTTCTCATTCCTGATTATAAAGTTGGAGTCAGTGTGGGGGTGTCGGGGTCTGTGGATGGTAGAGATGAAAAGCAGTTAAGGGTGGTTATGGAAAAATGACACCGATTTGAACATTAAGGGAGGTCATGGGGCAATACAGTAATGTTAGCACCAATTTGGGGAAAAGGGTGGAGGTAGCCATCAAAATTTGATACATTCCTAAGACCGACCACACCCCCCTAACTCCACTATAATAAATGACCAGTCCCAAAAGTCAGTCCCCTGACAATATCAGACGGATCCACAGTGAAATATTTACATTTCTCACAAATTGTTATTTCAAATCATGTCTGCAGCTTTAACAAATCAGTTGCATCAACAATCTCAAGATGGCAGCATAAGAAAATTTTAAAGTGAGTTACACACAGTATTCAGTGAAGGGAGGTGTAGTGATTCAGTTCAGTGGTCAAACCAAACAGAACCATAGCAACAAGACTATGGTATTTAGTATTAAAATATATGATATTACACAAATATTGCTCAATTTTTTGTATGAGAATTCGTCTTAAACATGTGACCTTTAAACACAAGTTAGTGAGTGAAAAGGTTTAGCTTTACGCCGCTTTTAGCAATATTCCAGCAATATCACGATGGGCGACACAAGAAATGGGCTTCACACATTGTACTCATGTGGGAATCAAACCCTGATCTTTGGCGTAACAAGCGAACACTTTAACCGCTAGACTATCCAACCACCCCTATTAAACACGAGACAATATTCTCTCATGGAAATGTACACACAACAGAATTACAAAGAAACCCTGTTTATCCAGACAAAACTTTCTCCTGTGAAAACATCTGGGTTAAAATGTCTGGATTATCAAGTCACTGTGACCATCAACACATGCAGCATTGTCAATATGGTGAAACTTATCCGACTGTTAAAACAATATGATTAGGAATACTTTAATTGAACATCACATGTGAAACTATGAACACTTATTGTATGTGGGTACAGATTATCAAACAATTGTTTTCACAGATAGTTTAGTTTAGACAAGTGTGAGTATTGTAACAAATATGGCTACATCTGCAACATCACCACAACGAACACAAGACAGGCTTCATACATTGTACCTGTGGTGGGAATCAAACCTTGGTCTATGGTGAGAGTAGGCAAACACATACCACTAGGCTACCATTCAAACTTTAGACATTTCAGAAAGTGAGGGAGTAGAATGTAAAAACGGTTAATTCTGGTGTTAAATTTGAAGAAAATAACATAAAGATTTTCAAACGCTCAGATAGATGTGCAGACAGTTAAGGGGACAGGTGATGTACTTACAGTATCAATAACCCCAGCCATCCCAGTAATGTAGATTTCATGTTTCAAGTGTGAATACAGCTTTTGGAAAAGAGGGGGAATGCACAAAAAGTGTAAAAAATTGAATGGATTTAACACTGGCAACAATTTGTGTTTGTTAGCCAAACATTAGTCCATTAACTGTTATTTTTGTTGACATGTTACTAAATGATTAAGTCACATTTCAAAATACATCACAATGTTAAGTTTGCTTCCAAATGAAGGATGCAAGCACTAGGGCTGGCTAATATGATACATAATTGGAAATATTATCGGTGGGGAAAATATCAATGAATATCGATATGAACATTGTGTCATCGATTATATCGTACATAAATTATTGTGATGAAAATAAAGCTTTAAATTCCTCAGACAATACACAAAGTTAGGCCTTTATTTATGGACTGCTTCTAAATTATGTTCAGGATACCATTTGTTTGTAATCCAAGTCTAAATATGTCACCACTCACCACTGATGTGAAATATGTTGATTTCTTGTAATTTTTTTTGACATTTTGCTCAAAGTTACTTTCCGGATATTTCTTGAAAATCAATCGATATTCAAGTAACAATTATTGATATCTATGATCAATATCGATAGCTAGCCCTAGCAAGCACCTTCATTCTTCTTTGGATCAGTTTTGGTTCATCATTACAATACCAGTCATCATTACTTAAAGGAGTGACTTTCCTATACTGTTTTCATCACAACTCATCGTGTATACATTCAGGAGATTTACATTTAGCCGTTTCCTCAATGGTTGGGAGAGGGTCCACTTTAGGTTCATCTTCTATATCTTCAGTGGTGATGATGCTGGACACTTCAGTGTCGCTGATGTAGTTCGTCTCGCCGGTGTAGTGGGTGGGGAAGACGAGCAGTGGGTCGGCGGACAGTCCCACGAGGTTCCTTGGTTCAAACTGCAGGAGCCAGTCAGTCCTAGAACAGAAGTTGGTCCTTTTGTAAAGCTGAAGATCCACAGAGCACAAACAGTGATCGTAATAAGAGATTCCTGCTGCAGTAAATCATTAACTCCAGCATTTTGATTATAAGTCCTTCAGTTTTGAACACTGATAATTATCTTCAGGCTATGTCACATGAACCCATGAAGATACATACTTAGGGACCGTTCATAATTTATGGCTAGGGGGTGATGATGATTTTAAGGGGGGGTCACCCATTTTGTTCTGGGGAGGTTGGGGGTAGCAATTTTGTACACAAGTTTCTTGGGGGTCAGCAATTTTGTACATAAAAATATTTTAATATATGCTTTAAAAATATGGAAAGGAGGAGGGGGGGTCATTGACTTTGTACATGACATGCAGGGGGGTCACTTACTTTGTACATAAACTTTAGGGGGGTCATTCACATTGTACATGCTTCTCCATAAAAAACATCATCACCCCCCCTAGCCATAAATTATGAACGGTCCCTTATATTTGGAAGTGAACTGGAAAACTCATATTTTTACAGAAACACTGTGATGATATACCAGTTGCATAGAGCGATGCTCATGACGTCAATCACTGGATTGCCTGATCAAGACTTGACTACCTATGTATAACCCTTTGTATAATACCACTGTCATAAGGGTGGAATATTACTGAGTACTGTATTAACAAGAAGACAGAGTCATCAATATCCCCCGCAATGGCAAAATACTCTTCATGAATATGTCTACTAGTTATGATTATGCCAAATGTTTTGGAGTGTACAGAGCAAAGTGGAAGGAGAGTATTGAAAGGTGTTAAACCTCTGCTCCAGAAAGGAACACTACCACCAAATTCAGTTGAAGGAAAATTGTTGCCATGGAAATGCAAAAAATGTTTTATTCAGAAATCCAAAACTACCAAAAGACACCAGTACACAACCAGACCAATCTATTTGCCACATTTAGTGATGAAATAGTGAACGGTTGTAAAGTTCTGCTTTGAGTGTGCACGGACGGACAGACGGACGGACGCACAGACAGATGGAAGGACAAACAGAGTCCATTGTAATACCCCCCGCAAAACACGTTGCAGGAGATAAAAAACAAACAAAAGCAAGCCATCATTGATTAGAAACCCAATACATCAGAATCCTGAAAAGCCAATGTGTACTCATCAGAACCCTGCATGAAGACAGTGTCACCTACTCTGGATGCTTGTCGAACATGATGGGCAAGAACTCATCAACCGGGATCATCTTGCCAAGGGGTTTCTGGTCAAGCAGCTTCTTTGTGCCTGACCTCTGGAGTATGTAGCTGAGTGTCCAGTAGGAGTAGCTAGGCCACACCAGATTCTCTGTGCCCTTCACCAGGAACTCTAGTCGGCTCTGCAAGATCTTCCGTCCAAGGTAGCTGTAACACATTAGGTCATCATGCTCGTTATTTGTAATATATAGGATTGTATCTGCTATTGCCTAGTGAGAGACTAGTGAAGATCTGGGTTAGAAATGGTCTTCAGCAACCCATGCTTGTTGTAAGAGGTGACGAATGGGATCGGTTGGCCCAGCTCGCGTACTTGATGCATGTCATTGTTTCCAAATAGGTTACTGCCCATGATGTCAATCACTAGACTGACTGACTGACTGACTGAGTTTGGTTTTACGCCGCTTTTAGCAATATTCCAGCAACATCACGGCGGGGGACACCAGAAATGGGCTTCACACATTGTGCCCATGTGGGGATTTGAACCCGGGTCTTCGGCGTGACGAGCCAACGCTTTAACCATTGGGCTACCCCACCGGCCCGTCAGTCACTAGAGTGTCAGGTCCAGACATACAGCTGGAATACTGTGAGCGCTGTGTTAACCAACAGAGAAAGTAAAAAGCCTTTTAGTTTCTTGGTTGGTTGAGATCACACTCTTTAAAAGTATGCAAAATAAACATCAAAACTAACAAAATAAATTTAAAAACATAAAGGTTTGGGTATTCACTTCAGTCAAACAGACATGACTACGTACATGAGTTCCCAGTTGGGTACGTGGGCCTGTGCTTCTTTCAGCATGTATTTAAACTTCTTTCCGAAATATGCCTCGAACCTGACATCGTCCTCGAAGACGAGGATGCGTTCATAACCCTTCTCCATCATCTGAAACATGAAAATGTTCAATTTAATGAAAACAAGTGTTTGCCACTGATATGGTAATGTCCCCCGCCGCTAAAGAATGGAATATGTATATTTACTATTTTTTATTTTTGGGTCACACACACGATGCCTGAAATGACTGGTGTCTGCATAATACCCCAATGTAGGCTGTCAACATAACTGAAAACATTAGGTGCAATGTTTTATGAGATACCGCGTTTAAATAAGTTTTAAATGTGGTCAAAGTGTCGTGGTGACCTTGAAGATAAGGTCAAGGTCACGCAAATCAACTGGTGTCTGCGTCCCCAATGTAGGCTGACACCAAATTTCGTACAACAGTTCTGAGATATGTCAAGAGTTTGAAAAGTGCGTGACCTTGAAGATAAAGGTCAAGGTCCCAAATGTAGCGTAATCCCCAATGTAGGCTGACACCAAATTTGAAGACAATGGGTACAACAGTTCATGAGATATCGTGTGAACAAGAGTTTGAAAAGTGGTCAAAGTCGTGGTGACCAAAGTCAAGGTCACGCAAATCGGTGACCTTGAAAATTTAAAGTCAAGGTCACGCAAATCGACTGGTGTCTGCATAATACCCCAATGTAGGCTGACACCAAATTTGAAGACATTGGGTACAACAGTTCATGAGATATCGCGTGAACAAGAGTTTGAAAAGTGGTCAAAGTGTCATGGTGACCTTGAAATTAAGGTCAAGGTCACGCAAATCGACTGGTGTCTGCGTAATCCCCCAATGTAGGCTGACACCAAATTTGAAGACAATGGGTACAACAGTTCATGAGATATCGTGTGAACAAGAGTTTGAAAAGTGGTCAAAGTGTCGTGGTGACCTTGAAAATAAAGTCAAGGTCACGCAAATCGACTGGTGTCTGCGTAATACCCCAATGTAGGCTGACACCAAATTTGAAGACATTGGGTACAACAGTTCATGAGATATCGCGTTAACAAGAATCGGGACGTACGGACGGATGCTGCTGAATACATAGTCCCCCGTTCCGCGCTGCGGCGGGGGACAATTAGATCTTTTAGTCAGACATGATAACTGTGAGTCAAGACAATGAAACCTCTAGAGAAAGTCAAGTCAGATGATCTCTGAGCAGACTTTGAAAGCGTAATTAATGGACGGTACTTAAGCCAATCAGATGTCAGTTTTCTAAAATGATTCCAGGATATCTAGTCTGTGATGAATGAAACAATGGATATCTAGTTTGCGATAAATGAAACAATGGATATCTAGTTTGTGATGACTGAAACAATGGATATCTTGTTTGTGATGACTGTAACAATGGATATCTTGTTTGTGATGACTGTAACAATGGATACTGAAACAATGGATAACTAGTCTGTGATGACTGAAACAATGGATAACTAGTTTGTGATGACTGTAACAATGGAAACTGAAACAATGGATAACTAGTCTGTGATGACTGAAACAATGGATATTTAGTCTGTGACGACTGTAACAATGGATACTGAAACAATGGATATTTAGTCTGTGATGACTGAAACAATGGATAACTAGTCTGTGATGACTGAATCAATGGATATTTAGTCTGTGACGACTGAGTGAGTGAGTGAGTGAGTGAGTTGAGTTTTACGCCGCACTCAGCAATATTCCAGCTATATGGCGGCGGTCTGTAAATAATCGAGTCTGGACCAGACAATCCAGTGATCAACAGCATGAGCATCGATATGCGCAATGGGGAACCGATGACATGTGTCAACCAAGTCAGCGAGCCTGACCACCCGATCCCGTTAGTCGCCTTTTACGACAAGCATAGTCGCCTTTTACAGCAAGCATGGGTTGCTGAAGGGCTATTCTAATAGACCCGGACCTTCACGGGTCTGTGACGACTGAAACAATGGATACTGAAACAATGGATATTTAGTCTGTGATGACTGAAACAATGGATAACTAGTTTGTGATAAATGAAACAATGGATATCTAGTTTGTGATGACTGAAACAATGGATATCTTGTTTGTGATGACAGTAACAATGGATACTGAAACAATGGATAACTAGTCTGTGATGACTGAAACAATGGATATCTTGTTTGTGATGACTGAAACAATGGATATCTAGTCTGTGATGAATGAAACAATGGATATCTTGTTTGTGATGACTGAAACAATGGATATCTAGTCTGTGATGACTGTAACAATGGATACTGAAACAATGGATAACTAGTCTGTGATGACTGAAACAATGGATAACTAGTCTGTGACAACTGAAACAATGTATTTTTAGTCTGTGACGACCGAAACAATGGATACTGAAACAATGGATATTTAGTCTGTGATGACTGAAACAATGGATATCTAGTCTGTGATGACTGTCAAACAATGGATATTTAGTCTGTGGTTACTGCAACAATTCATAATTTAGTCAGTAATTACTGAAACAATGGATATTTAGTCTGTGGTTACTGAAACAATGGCTATTTAGTCTGTAATTACTGCAACAATTCATATTTTAGTCTGTGATTACTGAAACAATGGATATTTTAGTCTGTGATTACTGATACATTTGCTATTTTAGTCTGTGATTACTGAAACAATAGATACTTGAAATATTGAAATAAATATTGAATTGTCAAAATATTTAGTAGAAATAATGGATGCAACCCATTACACAGAGAGACAGAGACAGACCTACCTCAACCCAGATGAAATAGTGACTCAGAAAACATCCAATCTCTCCAAGTGTCAGCGCTCTGAAAGGAAAAACATTATGGGATTTCCACCGTTAGTCCTATGACATATTCATAGTTAAGTGGATACACACGGCCACGCTAAATGTGCAACGGACTTCACTAAAGTACTGTCGGAAATGCTAGAAAAATGCTTTTTGACTTATATTTAAAATTCAGAAGTATTACAGTTACTTAAATAACAAATATCACTTCAAGAAACATCTACCTAATGTAGACCGAGGGAATAAATTTTGAGACATGCTCTAAAATGTGTTTTTACTGATGAAAATACCAAAAACTTAGAAAAATAAGGGGTAGTGGGACGTTATTTGATACAAACATTAACTGCCTGTGTTACATCATCAGCATGCACGGTATCGACAGGTGAAATTGACACCTGAGCACACGCTCGGGTGAGGGGTCATCTCAATAGATGTTTTGTTCAAAATGTTGAATATGTGTACGTATAGTATACATATCAGTTATGTAAGGGATCATTTGTGTATGTGTGTTTGTTTTGAAATAAACATACGAATTACTGTACATTGGAAAGAATCCTATCACTTGTGTTATCTTATCGATTGATTGTAGAAATGTGCAACGTTTTAATAAATGTTTTGCATGTCAACAGTATATTTCATTGTAAAAATATGGATGTAATTCGGTCAGTTTAAACTAGTTGTGAACATTGGCCAAAGATTTAACGAAGTCACTGGTGTAGCTTCTTTAGAATATATATATTTTTCTTCTCATAAAGTTTGTAGACCGCCCGTCTAAGCATTCCCTTGTCAAAGTTGTCAAGGATGGTTTTACGTCCGGTTTTGCATTTGAGACGGTCCCTGTCTTGTCTGATTTGTTTACAATATTGTAAACTTGTTGGTAAGACATGCCAACAGCTCTACAAGTTCTGTAATAAACCCTTTCTAAACTAATGACAGTTTTACCTCTGTCTTTTTTAAGCAGAAAAACCTATAAACCTTTGCAACAATCGACTGCAAATCGTTGGCCATAGTGGACGCTGTGATAAAGATGTGCATGCATGACGGGAAACTTATTTATTAAGACTTAACATTTATATTAATATTTCTTCAATAAAGAAAACGATAATTAAGTAAAGTAACATGAACATTCAACATTTATTTGTGTAGGAAAAATGTTAATTTATAATTTTACACCACCTGTATTATTAGCATAAATGTAAAGACTATTTCAGATTTCTGTTGTTTAACTCTGAAGAAATCTTAAGTTGCTGTTTTGGTACCACATTCTCTCCTGTAAACTGCCCTTTAAATGCATGGGGATGTTAAATCGATTGAAATAAAAATTAGGTAGACAATAGGCGAGTTGATATATTGACAACATAGTACATTTATCACTTTTATAAAGATATTAAGGCTAAAAAGCATTTTTCAAGCATTTCCGACAGTACTTTAACTAACTTCAAGTTGAGTCAAAATCCTATAATTAAGGCACCAAGTTTGGACTGACCTTTACATTGCTGTACTGTAAAATATAATTCATCATCAACAGTAATTCAAGATTCTAGTTTCAATACAGCATCACTCACTGGGTTCATTTTTGTTCTTACAAATTGACAGTAGAAGCTAAACAATGTCCTCTCACTCAGGTGCTTAACAGTTTTAGTATTATAACAGCTGTGAAGGAGAAAACCATGTCACGGTCGATAACCTCCCACCTTGATGAATAAACGCCAGGGTTAATCTGAGTAAATCTGGGATTCAAACCTATGAGTAGTGAATCCTGTCACATTGAGGGGAGGTAACTGCAAAAGCAATACATTACATTATCTTTGCATTCATTTCCCAATGAATGTAATAAATTTAGCTGTGCCCATCACAGGGAACTACTTTCACGGTTATGAATTGTTGGTGAATCCCATCTACAGTTAAGGGAATTCCCATTCTATTTACCCACATCATGTTGGTCATGAAGAATGTGCAACATAAATTGTCAGCTGACCTGTGAGAGTATGGGTCAGCGTATCCTGGCAACATATCTATACCCAAACTGTCCATGTAGGTATCATTGAGAAGCCTGAAAAAACAAGGAAGGAACTTTAATAGTCTTTAGTATTTGATGTAGGTTAAAAGTACTCTGCAGGTACTTTGGTAATATATTAAATATTTTGTAGATTAATAATGTCTGGAGGTAATTATTAAATATTCTGGAGGTTAACAGTAGTCTGTAGGTTAATAGAATTCTGTAAATTTATAGTAGTAGGTACGTTAATGGTAGTCTGTACGTTAATGGTAGTCTGTATGTTAATGGTAGTCTGTATGTTATGTTAATAGTAGTCTGTATGTTTAATGTATGTAAGTAGTGTATGTTAATGGTAGTCTGTATGTTAATGGTAGTCTGTATGTTAATAGGTAGTCTGTATGTTAATGGTAGTCTGTATGTTAATGGTAGTCTGTATGTTAATGGTAGTCTGTATGTTAATGGTAGTCTGTATGTTAATAGTAGTCTGTATGTTAATGGTAGTCTGGAGTCTGAATGTTAATGGTAATGGTAGTCTGTATGTTAATGGTGGTAGTTATGTTAATGGTAGTTTATGTTAATAGTAGTCTGTATGTTAATAGTAGTCTAGTATGTTAATGGTAGTCTGTATGTTAATGGTAGTCTGTATGTTAATGGTAGTCTGTATGTTAATAGTAGTCTGTATGTTAATGGTAGTCTGTATGTTAATGGTAGTCTGTATGTTAATGGTAGTCTGTTAGTAGTCTGAATGGTATGTAGTAGTAGTCTGTATGTTAATAGTAGTCTGTATGTTAATAGTAGTCTGGAGTCTGAATGTTAATGGTAGTCTGTATGTTAATGGTAGTCTGTATGTTAATAGTAGTCTGTATGTTAATGGTAGTCTGTATGTTAATAGTAGTCTGTATGTTAATAGTGGTAGGTAGTCTGTATGTTAATGGTAGTCTGTATGTTAATAGTAGTATGTTAATGGTAGTGAGTAGTAATGTTATGTTAGTAGTAGTCTGTATGTTAATAGTAGTCTGTATGTTAATGGTAGTCTTTTTTATGTTAATAGTCTGTATAGTCTGTATGTTAATGGTAGTCTGTATGTTAATAGTAGTCTGTATGTTAATAGTAGTCTGTATGTTAATGGTAGTCTGTATGTTAATGGTAGTCTGTATGTTAATAGTAGTCTTTATGTTAATGGTAGTCTGTATGTTAATAGTAGTCTGTATGTTAATAGTAGTCTGTATGTTAATGGTAGTCTGTATGTTAATGGTAGTCTGTATGTTAATGGTAGTCTGTATGTTAATATGTTATGTTAATAGGTAGTCTGTATGTTAATAGTAGTCTGTATGTTAATGGTAGGTAGTCTGTATGTTAATAGTAGTCTGTATGTTAATGGTAGTCTGTATGTTAATGGTAGTCTGTATGTTAATGGTAGTCTGTATGTTAATGGTAGTCTGTATGTTAATAGTAGTCTGTATGTTAATGGTAGTCTGTATGTTAATAGTAGTCTGTATGTTAATAATGTTAATAGTCTGAATGTTAATGGTAGTCTGTATGTTAATAGTAGTCTGTATGTTAATGTATGTTAATGGTAGTCTGTATGTTAATGTTAATGGTAGTCTGTATGTTAATAGTAGTCTAATGTTAGTAGTCTGTATGTAGTATGGTAGTCTGTATGTTAATAGTGTCTGTATGTTAATAGGTAGTGAATGTTAATGTTAATGGTAGTCTGTATGTTAATGGTAGTCTGTATGTTAATAGTAGTCTGTATGTTAATGGTAGTCTGTATGTTAGTCTGGTATGTAGTCTGGAGTCTGAATGTTAATGGTAGTCTGTATGTTAATAGTAGTCTGTATGTTAATGGTAGTATGTTAATGGTAGTCTGTATGTTAATAGTAGTCTGTATGTTAATGTATGTTAGTCTGTATGTTAATAGTAGTCTGTATGTGGTAATGTTAATAGTAGTAGTAGTCTGTATGTTAATGGTAGTCTGTATGTTAATAGTAGTCTGTATGTTAATGGTAGTCTGTATGTTAATGTATATGTTAATAGTAGTCTGTATGTTAATGGTAGTCTGTATGTTAATAGTAGTCTGTATGTTAATGGTAGTCTGTATGTTAATAGTAGTCTGTATGTTAATAGTCTGAATGTTAATGGTAGTCTGTATGTTAATGGTAGTCTGTATGTTAATGTAGTAGTCTGTATGTTAATAGTAGTCTGTATGTTAATAGTAGTCTGTATGTTAATAGTAGTCTGTATGTTAATAGTAGTCTGTGAATGTTAATGGTAGTCTGTATGTTAATGGTAGTCTGTATGTTAATGGTAGTCTGTATGTTAATAGTAGTCTGTATGTTAATGGTAGTCTGTATGTTAATAGTAGTCTGTATGTTAATAGTAGTCTGTATGTTAATAGTAGTATCTTAATAGTATGTTAATAGTAGTAGTCTGTATGTTAATGGTAGTCTTTATGTTAATGGTAGTCTTTATGTTAATAGTAGTCTGTATGTTAATGGTAGTCTGTATGTTAATGGTAGTCTGTATGTTAATAGTAGTCTGTATGTTAATAGTCGTCAGTGTATAGTGGTCAGTATGTTAATCAATTGTGTAGAACGATGCTCATGATGTTGATCACTGGATTGTCTGTTCCAGACTTGATTATATACAGACCACTGCCATATAGCTGGAAAATTGCTGAGTGCGGCGTAAAACGAAACTCACTCAGTATCTTAATACTGACTGACTGGGTATGGTTTTATGCCGTTTTTAGCAATATTCCAGCAATATCACCAGAAATGGGCTTCACAAATTGTACCCATGTGGGGAATCGAACCCGGGCCTTCTGTGGGACGAGTAAACACTTTAACCACTAGGCTACCCCACCGCCCCCAGTATCTTGATGAAGATTAACATAGATGTGTACAAGCAGCAATCCTAACCTGGGGTTATGAATTTTTCAAGCAAATTCAATGATTGAGGACATTTAAATCATACGCACTTTCCATCAACTGCATCCACGAACTTGGCTTTGATCCCGAGCTCATATAGCGTCGCTATCATTCTTTCCCTCCGTTCAGGACGTCGACGTAAATTGATCACATACACCTTAAACAGGAATTTGTCAAAGATGGAAATATCAATAACAATATGCATGAAAGGCTATGAATATTGACATTCTTAATATTGAATACATCAATCATAAGATTTCATGGCATACAGCCGACAGTAACAGAGTGTTTGTGTGATGTACAGACTGAGTTACCTGGTCAAAGCCCAGCATGTCCGCAGGTATGACAGGTAAGGAGACGTGGGGCGAGTGATACAGGGGGGAACCTTCCACTGAAACAAAATACACCAGAGTTTATCCCACTGATCTTCAATACATTGACAGTGCTTCATCCCGAGAAGCACTCATGTCACTTGTTTTACAGGTCACAATGTTTGCTACTCAAATTTTGATAGACAAAAGATGTCAGGTGTCACGATTATAAGGGTTTCAGTGTTAATCCAGGCAAAAGGTGTCTGGATTATAAGTGTTTCACTGTTACTCCGAGCAAAAGGTGTCTGGAATTCAGGGGTTTCACTGTATATCCAAACAAAAAGTGTCTGGATGTTAGCGGTTTTAATGTACAAGACAAAAGGTGTCTGGATCATATGGGTTTCACTATACATGCAGGCAAAAGGTGTCTGGATTAAAGGGTTTCACTGTAAAACAAGGCTAAAATTGTCAGGATTATTTGAGTTTTCTGTACAATCAGACTGAAGACAGAGTTCACGAATGGTGTTTCAAAGTAACAGGACATTGGGTCCTGTAAATTTCAGATGTTTGTCTGACCCACTGAAAATACACAAGTCCCACAGACGAAAAAATAAACACAAATTTCAGATATAACATTTCTTGTAATTGGCATTGAAATTAATAAAAAGAGTAAAATTTATAAACAACAAACAAGTCTCACATGTCACATATAACAACTTCAGTCAAAGTCATTGAAAAATATACAGTCGGACACTGGGGCCGGTGAGTTGTAGACTTCCATCGAAACCGTCGGCGAATCTGCCACATTTGTCTGAGGGTCCAACGCTATTGGTGAACACTGTAAAGGTGTCTGGATCTGTAATACTGAGCTTCCACAAGCTACAGGGGAACACATACCCATGGCCTCCAGTTTTGTGTGTGTCAAGGTGTCTGGATCTGTAATACTGAGCTTCCACAAGGTACAACACTTACCCATGGCCTCCAGTTTTGTGTGTGTCAAGGTGTCTGGATCTGTAATACTGAGCTTCCACAAGGTACAACACTTACCCATGGCCTCCAGTTTTGTGTGTGTCAAGGTGTCTGGATCTGTAATACTGAGCTTCCACAAGCTACAGGGGAACACATACCCATGGCCTCCAGTTTTGTGTGTGTCAAGGTGTCTGGATCTGTAATACTGAGCTTCCACAAGGTACAACACTTACCCATGGCCTCCAGTTTTGTGTGTGTCAAGGTGTCTGGATCTGTAATACTGAGCTTCCACAAGGTACAACACTTACCCATGGCCTCCAGTTTTGTGTGTGTCAAGGTGTCTGGATCTGTAATACTGAGCTTCCACAAGGTACAACACTTACCCATGGCCTCCAGTTTTGTGTGTGTCAAGGTGTCTGGATCTGTAATACTGAGCTTCCACAAGGTACAACACTTACCCATGGCCTCCAGTTTTGTGTGTGTAAACTGGTCCATCTCAAACTGCAGGGAGTACGACTCATCCAGCGGAACCTGCACGGTCCCGAAGTATTCAGAGTTCATCACATGGAAACTAACACCTGGTCAAACAAATAAGGGCCATTAACAAAATTCAGGTGCAGTCAAATTTTTCGTGAGATGAGAGAGCCAGAAATAACTCTGTTGTGACAAAGAAAGGAGAAGTTGTTATCCATAAAAATGCCAACTAGGGGTGTCACGATTCGGTTCGGTTCATCGAAATTCGAATCGATAGATGTACGATTCGATCTTGATTTCAAATGCATCCATTTCGATTCGATTCATAAAGTACTTACTTTCTAATACTGAGAGTTTATTTCACCTGAAATCATAAGAATTATGTTGAAAATTCGCTGCTATAAGTGTGGCCAGTGAGAGGGTATTCTCCACTGAGGGAGACATTGTAAGTGCCTAGAGGGCATGTCTTTCAAGTGAAAATTCCTTGCACAGAACATGATCATTCCAAATGACTTACAGTGACATTACAGTCACAATGAACACTTGACACCAGAGTTCGTGACTGAAACTTAATTTCATGATCACTTGTTCAGTGAGTATTTGTTGACAACTTGTCTTGAAAGTGTTCTAATTGTGCATTGAGCCAATTTTCCAAAGTTTGCCAAATTAAACTGATATTACAACAAATTTTACTTTGTCCTCAGCTTTGGTGAATTGAATCGAAATTAATCGAATCGAACGAATTGAATCGATAATCGTATCGAATCAAAGTGAGAGTGAATAGAGACACCCCTAATGCCAATTTCTAAATGCCTGTCAAAGACTTCAATTTTTTTAACTTAAATGAGACTAAAATAACACCCTCCATAATAAAATCCACCATCAGCCTGTATGTCTTCAAGGAGTACTTCATCATAAATACCTGCATGTTTGACAGTGTGTGCGAATATAATGATGTCATCAGTGGGGCCGTTGTAATCTTCCGGAGGTTTTGAGTATGAGAACTGTTCTGTCACCTTCTGACGGAGGTCAACCAACACAGCAGAGTGCACCATGGGTACAGGAAACACTCCAAGCTTCTCTCGGTCAACCACCGGAATGTACTCTGGTGTTCTTTTATAAAAACCCTGGAAGACAATCAGTCAGTGAGTGAGAAACTTTGGTTTCATGTCACTTTGAAAGGTATTCCTGTTACATCACGGTGTGTCAGCTGTATGTGGGAGGAAAGTCTGAACGCCGCTTTTACCAATATTCCAGCAATATCACGACAGGGGACACCAGAATGGGCTTCACACATTGTAACCATGTGGGGAATCGAACCCGAGTCTTCGGCTTGACGAGCGAATGCTTCAACTATCAAGAAAGTCTGAAGTGATGCAGGTCATAGATGTATGCAACTGTGGAGAAACCCACAAGCCCAGGAATCATGCTGACCAACATAAGCAGGGCTTCAAACCCACAATCTTTAGTTGCTGTGAATCTTACGGTGCATTAACTGTTATTGTTCTCATATTTAAATGTGCTTCTGTGCAACCAATTTTATAAAATAATCTCATAAAGTGTACAATGTGTGAGTGAGTTTAGTTTTACACCACACTCAGCAATATTCCAGCTATATGAAGGTGGTCTGTAAATAATCGGATCTGGACCAGACAATCCAGGGATCAACAGTATGAACATCGATCCACGCAATTGGGATACGATGACATGTGTCAACCCAGTCAGCGAGCCTGAAAACCCGATCCAGTTAGTCGCCTCCTAGGACAAGTATGAATTACTAAAGATCAATTCTAACCGGGATCTTCACGGGTCCATAAAGTATACAATGTATCAAGGTATTGTTGCAATGATTTTTAGTGTGCCCATCTTGCACAAGAAACTGATTTCAACCATGTCATTATGGTTTTGACCATGTCATCAGATCTAGAATCACAGCACTTCAAACCCAGGAAAGGATTATTTTGGACAGTGTTTTCAGGCAGTAAATCGTCCAACCAGCATCCTTGTTGCATCACTAGCTTCATCAACCTGAACACACTGCCATACAGAACATGTTCCATGTAAGGCCACACTCTTTTTATTACTTGGTTTACGGATCCACCGACCATAATTTTTTGTTAAAGTGGAAAAAAAACATTTCCATACCACGGATAAATAAAATCCAAATACATAATTTTAAAATCTACTTTAGTGAAATCGACTTTCTGTTACGAATTCAGCATCGTTGCAAAACAAAACCCTGTACTCTGGAAAGATATTTAAGTGACTTTATCAATAAGGACAACAATGAGTTGTAGTTATTTTTAAACCCTATTATAGTAGGAAATGAGAACACCTGAATGGCTGATGGCATATTCTTATTCTTTTTAACAGCATACTTATGGTGAAAGCCACTTAGGGAAAAAAATATGTGAAATAACTATTTATTTCACCACCCACCAACATGAATATTGCTGTAAAAAATCTGTTAACCAGGCAATAAAAAAAAGTGTGGTCTAATGGATGGGGTTTTTTTTCAAGAGAGGCTTCCTGACTCACATCTTTAGTCATCCCTGCCCAGAAGTTGGAGTAGATGCCGTCCACGCTGGTGTTCAGCATCGGGCCGATCACTGTTCTACAAGTACAAGATGGAGGAACTGCACACACTATCTGCATGAAATTGCTCTTTGGTGCGCAATCTGCATTCAAATAGCATGAGCAAGCCTGATATGACAGCATCATCACCAGACTGTTAAAAAAAAATGTCCCAAAACATATATTTTGTGATTACCAGTATTATTAGTAAGCTCACAAGAGCCGAGTCCTTATGCCACAAGGTGTTTCCTTCTGGAAATACTGAAAATGCTGATGACTGGAAACTTTGTAATTTAATTGGACTGCTATTTTTAGCGTTATGCAAATGACCACAAGGCAACATAAGTATTATGTAAATGGGGAAAGGCATTATATATATAAAGAACACATAACTCAGCATGAATAAGGTTTATTCAAAATTAACTGTTTATCAGGCTGTATATTACAATTTACATGCGAAAAAGAGAAAACAAGAAGTACACCATGAACAGTATGCCCAGTTCAACTGAGGTGTATTTATATATATCTTAAATATAACAGATCTATATTACTAATGTACGAACGTACCTGTCCTGGGCCATCAGCAGTTGCAGTGTCTGGTTGTTCTCCAACATCACATCCGCATCCAGCATCTGACAACATACACCACCAACATTTACACTGACCTGAATAGACCTGTGGGGAGTGTATTGAAAAATATACATCCTCAGCAACCCGTGCTTGACGTAAGAGGTGACCCAATCCGTGTCAGTTATGTCAATCATTTCCACTGGTTGTTCCAGATATGACTATTTATAAAAAGACCATCTTTGCTGAAGATTGTTGAGTATGGTGTTAAACAATAAAACATCCTTGGGAAATGGTGAACTGAGTCAGCAGTACTTCCATAGAATGGGGATCCTTTAAGTTTTACCCTGCATCTTGAGCAGTCTCCCCTGAAAATGTTTTCAGTGAAGAGCATTCCCCCATATCCTTTGGAGTTTATTATTTATGCTCCCCACCCCCTCCATAATCCTGAACGTCACCCTAACACCAGAAATGGGTTTCACACATTGTACTCAAACCAGGGTTTTACGCGACATGCAAATGTGTGTCCAGTAGAGAATGGATGCAGAAAAGAAATTCACTGCATCCAAAAGGACACACAATATTATTCACTGTACCCACACCACATCTGGGACTTTAAGTTTTTGCTGTTTTTATTCATGCATCATTTCATCCATCAGTCCACGTGATCAATGATTCATTCCAGGCTCTACAGAAATTATCAAAACGTACAGTTCTCATCACTGTTACTTCACAGGTCCCTCATATTGCCTGCAAGGGCCCTTAAAACTAAAAACTGGGGGTCCCTGGGACCTCCATGTTTGTGCGTCGAGGTATAACCCTGCCAACGCTTTTGCATGACTAGCAAATGTCCACGTTCACAGTGTGTCAGCTCTGTATTGGAGCAGAGCACCAATGGATATAATTGTACACATTTACATCTTCACTGAGAGTGAGAGCCAAGAACATCTATGCATAGTGAGTCCTGACCAAGAATCGGTTGGTTGTACAATCATTCCGTAATCAGAGTATTATGTGTATCTTCTCTACTCATCCTGTATTACCAATGATGACTGGATCATCCCAAATCATCTATCATCAAAATTAGTTTGCCATTTCTCGATGTTAACTTCAGTAAAACTGGATCACATACAATAAATACAAACACTTATTTTAGACACTGGCTCTCCCCCAACGTACTACAAGAAGTGAATACACCTTGTAAGAAAACAAAACTTATTCCGGTGCAAATGCATTTGTTTGATCGCGTTGCTTACAAAAATTACTAAGGACAGCTTGGTCGTTTGGACCGGTTAATATATATCTTTCATAATTTCAAATAATCATCATTGTGACTAATGAGAGCCTTGATAAGGTTATTAGATACTTACAAAAAGATAGTCAGCCCACACATTCCGAGCATCATCAAGAGCTTCCTGTCTCAGTTGTATGACGTTATCAAATCTCTCTTCTGTCCAGTCGCAGTTGGACTTCTCATTTCGGTATCCTAACAACAACCAACACAGTCACAATCACTACTGGATACTATTTTCACTTTCCTATGAATGTTAATCGTTTCCACAGTTACCTGACCCTCATTTGTTTTAATTAGAGTGAGTGAGTGACTCAGTGAGTGACTCAGTGAGTGAGTTTAGCTTTATGCCACACTCAGCGATATTTCAGCTATATGGCGGCGGTCTGATCCCATTAGTCGCCTCTTATGACAAGCATGGGTTACTGAAGATCAATTCTAAGCCGGATCAAATTAGAATTATCTTGTGGTGTAATGACATGGCAATACACTATTGTGAATAATGGGGAGAGTTATATTAATATGCTTCTTTATTATTAATATGAGAAACGTTTCGGTGTAGCTACTAACACCGTTGTCAAGCAAGCGGTTTCAACCTTCAGGAGCTACACCGAAATGTCGCTCATATTGATAATAAAGAAGTTGTATATCTGTAGAATTCTCGCCGTTGTTCACCACACCAACTTCTTAATGCCTCTCAAAGAAGCACGATAGGCTCACGATACAATAGATATCGCATTGCCAGTGTTTAAAACTCCCAAAATTCCAAGCTAGACAGCCGGACTGTGTAACTTTAAAAAATTACCAGTCCGGATACAAACTTGCCTGTCCGGTTTTCAACAATAAAAAACAAACAAGATCAGGTTAGTCAGTTTACTGTTTGTAGTCATCGCAATGACCTACATAGCACTAACAGGCAATGCACCGAGTTTAGGTAAACTGAAAGTACACGTGTTGTGACTGGTTATCGTAACATGAACTGTCCAGTCGTAAGTAACATATGTTATATTTGGGATTACACTTTCTTTGTAAAGTACAGATTCTAGTACTCCCAAATATAACATATGTTACATTTGACCACTTTCTAAAAAGTGTATTGTGTATTTCATCGCTTTCGGCCGTTGGAACCGTGCCAATTAACACTTATCAGAGGGGTACACAATGTCCGCAGTCTAGACTACCAGTTGTCCGACTTCCATTTTTGTGGAAGCCGCGGTGGCTGAGCAGTCTAGGCGTCTGACTTTGTGTGCTGGCGATTAGGTGCCTGACTCTAAGGGTGTGGGTTCGAATCCCGGATGGGATTCAACCCCCCCAAAAAGTACTAGAATCTGTACTTTACGAAGAAAGTGGAATCCCAAATATAACATATGTTACATTTGACCACTTTCTAAAAATGGCATTGTGTATTTCACAGTCGTAAGTAGTTTAACATAATCATCATAATACCATAAACACCTCAAACTGACAAGAGAATCTGTCTGATAAACTGGATGAAATATATTTCGACTTACTTTCGGTAGTGTTATCAACTTTAACGTCAATTCGATGATACAGTGGTTCAACTGCAGGTATCCATTCCAGTAGCATGGCAGAAGAATTGTCTATGTTGTGATCACTACGAAACCTGAAATATATGTATACATATGTGATATACTCAGACAGTGATATATGCTGTATATATGCTGCTCTTACAGTGTTACACTCTTACATAGTGTATGACCTCCCTGCTTATCGTTGAAGATCCAGGTTAGATTTGATCTTCCATAACCTCTTGTTGTAAGAGGTGACTAATGGGATTCGGTGGTCAGGCTCGCTGACTTGGTTGACACAGGTCTTCGTATCCCAATTGCGTAGATCGATGATCATGCTGTTGAACACTGGTTTATCTGGCCCCGGGATGAATTATTTACAGACCGCCCCCATAATAGCTGGAATATTGCTGAGTGCGGCAACTTGCTCACTCACTCATCTAACTGCTTCATGGAGATCCAGCTTAGAACAGGTCTTCAGCAACCTATACATGCTGGTCGTACCCCATTGAGATCCAGTGAGTGAGTATGTTTTCATGCCGCTTTTAGTTTTAGCAATATTCTGAGGACGCCAGAAATGGGCTTCACACATTGTGCTATGAGGGGAATCAAACCCGGGTCTTTGGCAGTGAACGCTTTAACCACTAGGCTACCCCATCGCCCCTATTAAGACTGAGCGTTAGAAACGGTCTTCACAAGACCAGTTCATTAAAATCCAGGTTAGAACTGGTCTTCAGCAACCCATGCTGGTCGTACCCCATGAAGATCCACGTTAGAGGAGTCGAGTGGTCAAAGCGTTCGTTTGTCACACCGAAGACCTGGGGTCGTTTCCCCACATGGGTACAGTGTGTGAAGCCCTATTCTGTCTTTCCCCGCCATGATATTGCTAGAATATTGATAAAATCGGGTAAAACACAATTCACTCACTCACCCACTGATTGTTTTCAATATATTACACCTTGGACCCTAATGAGTATAATTTCTTTTCAAATTCTGCTTCTAATGTTGTTTCAAGTAACCTCTAAGTTTCCTCTGTTCACGTGCTGCTCCAAGTGAGTAAAACCACAGTAAAACATGTGTCCACAGCATTTGTCTCCTTTAGTGCATTATTCAATGCAGTTGAGGCTATGTCTAGGACAAGCCTGCATTCAATAGTCAGTAAAGATATATTTGGTTTTGGTTTTGGTTTTCGACAATCCAATTATAAAATACATCCAGTGATCAACAGCATGAGCATCAAAGATAAGTAAAGATATTTAGGTACAATACAAAGCTGAATAGGCTACACTGGGTAATAATGTCTGGTTCTGCATCTAACAGGGACTCAGAAATAAAATATAAATTACAACAACAAACAATAATATCATGCAGAATTATCATACTACTGTTTTCATATTTGTTCATGTGTACTTGCAAGCAACTCAAGTGGGTAATGGGTGTTGTGTTTTGTTATGCAAACATGAAAATATTCAAAGCTCTGGTCAGGAATAAATAATTTATCAGCATTATAAGATTGCATTGTTACAAAAATGAATAAAAATGTTAACATTGTTGTTTTCATCAGGCTTGCCATAACCAGCTGATAACAGATTTAATATCACATTGTGTAAAAATGTTCATACAATGTATAAAAGAAACCATTATTATCACACTAATAACTAGCATGGGATATCTTGTCTATGATTGTAGGGTACAGCATTGTACTAGGATGGTTGGTTGGTTGTTCAACGCCACACTCAGCAATATTCCAGCTATATGGCGGTGGCCTGTAAATAATCAAGTCTGGCCAAGACAATCCAGTGATCAACACCATGGGCATTGATCTACACAATTGGGATACGATGACATGTCTCAACCAAGTCAGCGAGACTGACCACCTGATCCTGTTATTTGCCTCTTACGACAAGAATAGGTAATTGCAGACCAATTCTATAGAGCATAAGGGACAGACAGAGAGAGGGCAAATGGGAGAGCTGGAATTTTGGAGATCACTGCTTCAACATGTTCAAGACACATATCTTTAAGAAAGAGCCACACAAATGTGTTTCCACGTTAAACATAAATTTTCAAAATATATAGCATTTCCAGTGGCGAATCAAGTCCATAGAGCCACAGACTGACCTAGTCTCTCTCACAGTCCTTGTACCACATTATTTTCCCTTCCACCCAACTTATCTCCAATGCTATTGTAAAGCTCAGAGTCAGATTTCCTCTGCTTCAGAATCTCCCTTCTCACTCGTCCTTTTCAGTTTAAAAGGAAAGTTTGTTTCTGTCAAAATTATATATATTCTGAGACTGGACACTAGTCTGTGACTCACACAGTAACTATGGACACAACCAGCCCCCCTGGTCAGTAAAAGCACTCATTGAAATAACTGGGTTTGGTTTAGTCACAGATCAGGTCCAGAGGTGGGTGCCAAGTTGGCACATTCACCTCTCCCTCTATGAAGCATACCATTCATGTTGACGTAGGAAAGAAACCAAACATCAAAATAATTTGAAGACAAGATAAAATATCTACCAACGAACAGATTTTGGGACTACAAATCACAAATTGTATCCTGAATAATGTACTATCACCTTTGTATTTAAGAACACCCCTTTTTAAAAAAAGCTGTAATAAAAGGATAATTCCCTCACCAAATAAATGTGATATAACCTATTATTTTAGATCTATGCTCACTAACACTGTTTCAATCTTAGTAAGATTTATTAATGGGAAGAATTAAAGTAGCTTTCTGAAATCAAAGGATAAAAAAATATTTATTTTGAAACACCTACACATATTGTTTGACTGACTCTTATCTTAGTTCCTCTTCTTAGTCAAAATGAAATTATGAATAGAGTTGTAAGTTAAGCTTGTGGGCGGGGGGGGGGGTAGTAGAAGGTGATGTGTAGGGGAGGGATGATACAAACTTCTGTGCACACCTCACTCAGTATTTTCACTTTCAGATGTAACTATCGTGTCAGTTATTCGAGCCTATGTAGTGACGTCACGACGTCGTCAAACTCAAATCTGTACTTACCACAAATTAATCCGATGCTTCGGATAATCCAGTTTTTCTAACTGCCCCAGAAACCACGGTAGAGTGTGAGCTTTGTTACGAACAAGCACCGCTATCGACACTGTAGGTGGAAATCGTTCGTGTTTCTCGCCGAAAGTGTCGTCTGCCACACATATATCAGCTATATTTAAAATGCACATCAACACAGTCGATGCTAAAAACATCCATACAACAATTTCCTGGCAAGTGTGCCGACACGTCGAACCAGTCGCGGCCATACTGCCGAATTAGAGGGACTTCTTGAAGCTTCCAGCCAACAAGTTCCGAAACTGACATATCTTTCTGCGCCAGCAGTTATCTCCCTTTGAATGAGAAATAAAGTCTGAGGTAACAGCGGAAATGGTAACGGCATCAAGTACGGATGCACGCGGGGGTAATCAGCGACTTGTGTGGAGGGGTTACGGATAGGTACTGGGGAGCGTGCTGGCGTGGCATATATTCTGAGATGCATATGTGTGCACACTAGGTGCGGTATGGAGCATGCGGAAATTGGAGAAAGAACAATGGCACATATTTTATGAGCGCCTCCATTATTTCTAAACGATGTTTATTTTCAAATTTTGAAAATCAATTTGTTTGGAAAGATAATTAGTACTTTGTTGGATTTTAAGTTTATCAAATTTGTTCTTAATTAGACGCTAATGTTCTTGGCTTTTAGTTTGTGTTTTGTTTTTGTTGGTTTTGTTGTTGTTGTGGTGGTGGTGGTGTATGGGTTATTTTTAACATTGTATAAAAAGGTTTGAATTTTCAAAGAATCCGGCAGATGATTTAGGGTCCGTTTGTGGAATAACAACATGGTAGAAAACATCTCTTTATTGATATTTTGTCAAATGACAATTAATAATATTAGCTGTGGCAATGAAGTAAACCTTTAAATGAATATACAATCGTGATAACAAAAATGTGTTATATGGGATAGTGTAACAGGTAGCTTCCGTTATAGCCACCCTCGAAGATCCGGGTTAAAATTGATCTTCAGTAACCCATGCTTGTTGTAAGAGCTAGGCAACTAACGGGATCGGGTGGTCAGGCTCGCTGACCTGGTTGACACATGTCATCGTATCATCGCTCATGGTGCTGATTACTGGATTGTCTGTTCCAGACTCGATTTTTTACAGATCACTGCCATATATCGGACGATGTTCAGTACCACTTATTCAGTTCAGTCATAGTACCAGTTCTTTCGTACGGTTGTGAATTGTGGGGTTTTATGGACGCTAAACCTGTCGAAAGAGTTCATTTAAAATTTATGAAAAATATAATAGTCGTTAAGAAATCAACACCATCTGCATTTGTTTATGGCGAACTAGGTGCATATCCACTGATAGTCCACAGGTTGATTAGGATTTTAGAATATTGGAAGAAGATTTTAGAGGTGAGGTGAGGTGAAATTGGGTTTAACGTCGTGCTTGAGAATATTTCGCTCATATGACGACATGCATGCGTGTGTATGTGTGTGTGCGGCTGCTTGTACTAGCCCAGACTTAAGCTAGTTTTATAGTCCTAGCCCACTGAGATACCATGCCGCAGTGAAGCATGAATATCCCACTCAGACACATTATACTGACTCCGAGCCGACCAGTCCTTGATGTACCCATTAATGCCGAGCGCCAGGCAGGGACCAACAAGTACCATATTTTAACGTCTTTTGGTATGACGCGGTCGGGGATCGAACCCGCGACCTTCCGCTCTCCGGGCGGGCGCTCTAACCGCTACACCACGGAGTGGGTAGATTTTAGAGTGTAGTGCACACGTAGATATATAGTACTGATTTACAATTCACTCTTGTCATTATCTGAATTGAACCCTCATGGTGAAAATTGGGTAACATTGTTAAGAGATACACTCTATAAATTTGGCTTTGGTTATTTATGGTTATTCTCAGTGATTGAGCAATTACCATGGATTTATAGCAGAATTTAAACAGCGTATTTATGATATTTACTCTCAGATGTGGAAGAATGATTTAAATTCTTTGAGTGAAACTAGATTATATTTGCAAATTAAAGATTGTTTAAATTTTGAAAAGTATCTAGTACATATTGATATAAGGAAACATAGAATTGCTCTTACACGGTTCAGATTGAGTTCACATACACTGATGATTGAAAAGGGCAGAGGGACTACACCTAAAACACCATTACACGATCGCCTGTGTCCATTTTGTGTGAACGATCTTGAAGATGAATACCATATCTTGCTCATTTGTCCAAAGTATTTAAGTATAAGAAATCGTTATCTACCAAAGCATGTCATTGCCAGACCAAGTATGATAAAGTTTGTGAACATGTTACAAACTAATAATGTACAACTATTGATTAGTATTGCTAAATGTGTTTATCATATCTTTAAAATAGAAAGTACAATGAATATGCTGTAATTATTTACTCTTGGGTTACCATCCCTCATTTCTCTGTTAAATTATTGTATATCAAACTATATATGTACATCCACAAATACCCACGACTGTGCAATCATACACATTTTTTGTAACCGTTGTTTTTGGCCCATGGCCCAAATAAACCTTCTGTCTGTCATATAGCTGGACTTTTGATGACTGCGGCATTAAACCACCATCCGACCAATACATTGAAGCCTTGTTTCATGGCTGTACTGATGGCTAAGCCCATGGATGTATAGTAATTCTATTCTTTAAAGAGGCAAGTCTAGATAGGCGGACAGTACAAGGGCGCCACTCTTTTAGAGGGACAAATTATGTTAATTTTATTCATATTTTTTTAGAAATTATCATTTAAATTATTAATTATTACCTTAGTGCAAGTCTATTTCCATTGGTGTATGTGTACTCATCCTAGCGTTTGGGGGGTAGCACGTATTACCAGACAGCGCGAGGTTTGTGGTTTGAACCTAGGAACCGTCAGACCAGAACTTTTATTACTTTCAGGCCACTATCCTTGGCATATGATCATCGATGTACAGTATTATTCCAAATTCATGCATGGTGGTAGGACAGATGGCTGTATATAATTATGTACATAGTAACTCAAAACCATTATGTACAGGGTAGATGAGAGTATCTGCGTATATAGAGGACTTGTAGCTTAGCATGAGGAGAGAACAGAGTTTACTTAACTTTCTAAGTACAGATTTGTTCTTAAATTTAAATAAAGTATCGCGTTTTAACACATAAGGGTGAACATAAAAGTATGTTGACAACAGATATTTCTATATTCGTTAAGGTAATCATACAACACAAGTGCATGCAAATCAATCAATGGCGGATCCAGAAAGGGGGGTGGGTTGTGCGCACCACTCTTCTCCCACCCCCCACCCCCTTTGTCCTGAACGTTTATTAAATAACCATTAAAACTCGCGTGAAAATGAACTGTGCACCCCTCGGCTTTTAGAAATGTGATTAATATACAGTTAAAACTCCGATTTCAGGATTCTGTATGTAGTGGTTTTCTTATGAACTTCCAAAGACCAGGTTTGGACAAATCAAAAGGCGTTAAAGTTGAGAATGTGGGTTCGATTAATGACATCTTGAAAAGAATTGCTGACATGTTGAAAAGAATTGCTGATATCTTGAACTGAATTAGAGATATCTTGAAATGAATTAAGGATATCTCAAACAGAGATAATGTATTGAGAAATTAGTGATATCGTAATTTGTTTCAAAGATATCTTTAATTGAATTGGAGATATCTTGAAATGAATTTAAGATAGCTTCAAAACGATTTCAAGATATCTTCAAATACTTCCGGCTACATATCGGTCAGTACATCCGGTTCTGTAGAGTACTGTGGGTAATGTTTCTAATCATGGCGGGCGGTTATTGTTCTTGAACATATTCATTCCACAATGGGTGCATACAGCGTTTGTTGACTGAAAGTGTCTATGTTTCGTCAGCTAAACAACTCCCCCAGTCTGCTCTATCCACTGTACATCGTATACCGCCTTCAGTTGGTGATGCGAAGTACTTGTCCGTCAGACAGCCAATCCAGCAGCTGCTCACTTTAGGCGAGATATTAGCAGTTGAGACACCTCCCTTCCCAATTTAAATGGGTTTATTTGTTACAATCAAAATTATATATATTCAGAGACAAAGCGTTAGTCCAGGTCTTTTCATGCTGGGGTCATCGTCAATTAAACATTACATTCAACAACTATAAGATAAATGATGATGATTATTATTATTATTATTTTTTAGTAATTGGTTCTCTTGTCAATCTCAACCCTCTCCCGACCCGTGAAGATCCGGGGTAGAATAGGTCTTCAGCATACCATGCTTGCCACAAAAAGGCTATGCTTATCGTAAGAGGCGACTAACGGGATCGGGTGGTCAGGCTCGCTGACTTGGTTGACACATGTCATCGGTTCCCAATTGCGCAGATCGATGCTCATGCTGTTGATCACTGGATTGTCTGGTCCAGACTCGATTATTTACAGACCGCCGCCATATAGCTGGAATATTGCTGAGTGCGGCGGAAAACTAAACTCACTCACTCATTCACACACGTTTATACTTATGTAGGTTATGTTACGCCATCTGCATCACGTATAATTCAAACTCAGCTTCATTATCCCCGAATGTCTCATACATTTTCAAGAAAATGACAAATAGTCATCAAAGCCAAGTGTCTCTCTCTCTCTCTCCTTGGCGTCTAGCTTGAGCCTAGTCTAGCACTCCCATTTTAGTAAAGTATTCTTTTGATGGCATATTCCGAAGCTCAATTTTCACAATTTTACTCAGAAGTTAGAATTAAAAAAATGCAAAATGTATCTGAAACAACATTGACTCGAAGAACTGAAGTTCCAACAGGAATAGTAGTGATCACGGGCACCGTTGTTGGTGTCAAATCACCAATGATTATTCAGAAGCGTCGTTTGATGATTGTATGTTGAGGGAAATTGAAAAGCTTTGAGAATATCAGAAATGAGATGATTAATAGAGGAAGTCCTCAGGTACGTAATGAAACCCTTAGACAAGAACTTGAAAGACTTAACTGGACGAAAAAGCAGATGAATTCTACCATGCACACTTCTGATGATTCGACCAAGGGTAACTTCCCACTGACGTTGTACTAGGTATACTGCTGATGATTCGACTAAGAGTAACTTCCCCCTGACGTTGTACTAGGTATACTTCTGATTATTCGACCAAGGGTAACCTCCCCCTGACGTTGTACTAGGTATACTTCTGATGCTTCGACCAAGGGTAACTTCCCACTGACGTTGTACTGGGTATACTTCTGATGCTTCGACCAAGGGTAACTTCCCACTGACGTTGTACTAGGTATACTTCTGATGATTC